TACCCAGAAAAGACTTGCCTTATATCCAAGGGGTTTCTGCTGTAGTCAATTACATATTTACTTGAAATTCAGTTTTAGTTAGTAATGTTTTCTGCATTAATGTTCAAGTACTAAAGAGGCTGTAGTATATTCCTGCATTATTGCACAGTACCCTGATAGCTGCAAACAACAGGTAGGAGTTGAATTCCGTAGTGATACAGCTGATACAACTGGTTGGTTTAAATAACAATAAAACTCCTATGCTAAATGTGTATTGCTGAAAGTTACGGAATTCCTGGTTCTGTTGTCTCATGGTTTTATTTCTCCATAGCAGATACTTGGCCTTTTTTTTCTGTAAACACAAATGATTGTACAGAGCTGATCTTGAAACTTGCTGCCACCTTGAGTCATTTGTGCATTGCTTGCTGTGGAGTCTTAATAATAAAGTCATTTTACTGACATCTGTGTGTTCATATTTTAAAAGCCTAGGGTGTGGCATTGGCTATGGTTATTTGCATAGGATACCTACACGCCCATTTGAAGAGGGAAAGAAAATCTCTCTCCCAGGACAGCTGCCCAGTGCATCTCTCAGTCCTCTCAAAGATGGCTTTACAGAGGTAAGTTGTAGTCACCTCTTTGGTTCTGTAATATGGATTTATGGGGTTATGCTGTTTTTTTCCTTTTATTGGCTCTTATGAAAACAAATCCTGATTATGTAACTTTCTTTTTTTCCTCCTGAAAAGGTTCAGCTGTCATCAGTTAACCCCTCCCCACCATTACCCCCTGGGCCAGCAGGACTCGAGCAGAGTCTGTCAGGACTTTCTATTAGCTCACCCTCGACTACTGTCAGTAATGTTCTCAATACAGGTTAGTATGGAAGTTACTCCTGAAATGCTCAGGTAGACTGACTTCTTTGGATTCACACATTTCCATTGGTTTAAAAGAGGACGGGAGGGAAAATAAACTTTCTTTTTCCCAAGCTTTTTTGAACAACAAAGGCTAGAGTGCTGTAATAATGTATTTCACTCTGTGAGCGTGCTTTACTTGCTCAGAAGAGATTTGATAACTTTTATCAGAAAGAAGATGTGTGTTATTCTATTTTTATTGTATACTATTTTCCTTCATCAGTGTGTTATGGTTATTTATGGCAAATAACAAATTTCCTGTGAGCAATTATTCACTTGTACTCTCTTGAGGACTACAGTCACTGAAGTGTGGTACTCTTAAAATTGACATTTGTTTTCCTGTGTGCTCCAGCAGGAGTTCCGACAGTCCCGTTGTTACCACCACAGGTCAGTCAGTCCCTTACCTCCGTGCCACCAGTTAACCCAGCAACAACACTACCTGGTGAGTAGGTAACATGGCTTGAGATGTTCCTGAAACAAAAACTTAAAAGAAAAAAGGAATACGCCAGTCTCTTCCACTGTTTTTTGGGGGCTGGGGGGACTACAGCTTCACACAACACAGGCATTTCATATCAGAACACTTTTATGCATCCTCTGTAATGTTATGAATTGTTTTTGAAGAGCCATGTGCACAGCATATCTTTAGCACAGAGGGCTGAGCTGGAAAGAAAGCTGATAATCATTGAGCTGTTAGGCCTCTGCACAATAGAGGGACCATTGGGGATTTCTCCAGGTGTTAGCTGTGCTATTTGCAGTGGTCCTGGAGGTGGTACATTCTTACTTGTTACACTTCATACAATATATGTTGCAAAATACTTGGGAAACTGTGAAGCTGCATGCCACTTTGTATTTTTCCCCCAGACATCAGGAAGGTGTTTCTTGCCTGTTGCTGCATTCCTTCCACCTCTTAAAACTCCCTTTTAGTGGCCTTCTTTTAATGCTTAGCTTGTTCTTCATTTAACAAGATGGCTAAGAGCATACAGCTGCACCTTGCAGTTACTGTTTCTGAGTTATTTAGTAACCTAAACCAGTAACACAAAAACAGTGTCTGTCTACAAAGTACTGTGCATTATTTCTGATAACAACCAATGTATTGAGCACTGGTATGCCAGAAATACTTGTAGTGCACACAGTAAGGTTTGTTTGGGGTTTTGCCATGTTGTTGGTGCAGTAATACTGGACCCAGCTGTGCATCCCAAAATGCTGAAGGAACTGTGTTTTGTTGTGCATGCTGTGAGACAAGTAGACTGAGATTCGAAGTAATATTTGCAGGTATGCTCTGTAACACAGAAGGTGCTGTGTAGGAAAGCTGACTGCCAGCATACAGGGCAGGGAACTTCAGTCTTGTACTGTGTAGGTAAAATGGCAGATCACTAAGTTTAGCTTCCATTAATGGCTTTTCGTTTCCTGTTACATATAACTCCTTTCCCCAAACCTGAAAGTACACATTTTTCATACACTTTGCTCTCTGAATAGTGTGGTTGCCTTTTGGAAAATTACCAGGATATTGCTACCAATTTGCATGTGCAAAATAATGAAATTGTAGGTCTTAAATATATCAAGGTTTAAAGTTCGAGTGAATCTGTGTGAAGTTCCATATTTTTTAGATTAGGGATTGCAGAGAATCAAGCCAAAGCTGCTTGTAACTGAACTGAAAGCTCTTTGACTTATATGATGTCAGCCTTTGTGGCTAATAAATTTCCAGGTAGGCCAGGAAGGCTGCTTTTAATCAAAATATTTGCGCTGTGGTCTGCTTCTAGATGTTCTCCGTCTTCTCCCCATTGTTACTGTAATATCAAAATCAGAGCTAAACTTCCCTAAACTAAGCAAACCACGAAGTAGGAAGAGAGCCATTGTGCCAGAAATGCAGCTCTGCTAGGACAGGAAAATCAGAAGGGAAAAGATGTTTTGCAGCAAACACAATCATGGAAGGGCATCTGTTGTGTTTTGTGCGTGTTTGCATTGTATTTTCAACCCTTCCTGACCTTGAAAGTTGCTGTTTTGCCCTTTCTATATATTTTTGTGTTTAACTTTAGTTATAAAATGAGTACTAAAATATTAAGATTTCTGACCTTTTAATGCTGTTTTCTTCTGAATTTCATCCTATGATAATCTTCTATGCTCATATTAAGAATAGAGGGCTTCTAGTACAGTGCTGCAGTCAGACAACTATCTTTGTTGAAAACTAAACTTTGGAAAAAACACCTATTAATTCCTTGAAATAAGAAAAGCATTAGGATTTATGTATTTTACTGTATGATTTATGTATAGAGTTCCTGCAGGAGACAACTCTTCAGTCACAACCTCATAGTTGAAACTCAGGTGAACTTGCATTTTTGTATGCAATGATGGTAAAATGTAAAGCAAAATCATACAACTTAACTAAGATCAGTAAGATCTCAGAAGCAGTCAGAGATAGAAAACAACTCGAAGTTTTGAGCTGTCGTTTTTTCATTCTCGCCTCAGGTCTGATGCCATTACCAGCGGGGCTTCCCAACCTGACTGATCTGTCCAAACTTAATTTACCGGCACCACACATCGTTCCAGAAATGGTACAGCCTGGTAAGTGCTCCTGCAAATTGAAATGCTGTAATAGCGTGTCTCTCCGTGACGATCTGACACTCATGTAGAACCATCTGGTGGAGTCCTGAAGAGGACAAATGGAGCGTTTGCTGGAAATGGGAGCTGACATTAGTGCCCAGATTGGGTGGGCAAGGAAGATGTTTTGAGAGAATGAAGTGCTAAGCCTCTGTTTAGTTGTTTTATCTTGTATTACTCAATTTATGCTCTCCAAAGAGATTGTCCTGTGCCAAGAAAGTAAGTACACAGTTTTACAAGTAGAAAAAGAGCGTCTCCTTGTTTGCTAGACAAGGAGATCAAAGAACCTTGATTGGAAGCCAAAGGTTTCAACTAATATTACATACATGGTTTTGAATCAAAATGCTGAAGATGCACGTGGAGCAAGCAAGAAGAAATCAGAAGCTTGCACAGAGTAGTTCTCACTGACTTCTTGTTGCTGGCCAGAAAAATCTAATAATCAGTATCAGTATTTTAGTCCTGTCTCCCTAGAGGACTAGAAGCAAACTGGAGTTTATTCTGATTCTTTGATTCATAAATAAATGCATCAGGTTTGAAACAACCTTGCTGAGTTCTCTCCAAGGATATAGAGGGGATTAGAGAAAGGAAAATATTAAGCTAACACAGAATCTGTTTAGATCTGTGTGTGGTATATAGCAGCTGACTGCTCTTTTTTTATTCTTAGGTATGCCAACCCTTCCTTCTTTGCCGCCTTTGAATCTAATGGGAATAACACCTCCACTGATGCCACCAAAATGCGTTCCTCTGCTTCCTTTGGTCACAGAGATATCTACAGTGCCTACAGATTTGCTTCCCACCATGACTCAAGCTGGAAGCTTTTCTGTTGACCCTGGCACTACTGTAAATGTAGAACAGACCTCTCCACTCACCTTGGATAGTGCTACCCCAACTTCTAAGGCGACTATTGTTGACAGATCAAGTGAATCCTCTGCTGTGAACGAGAAGGCATCTGGCATCACAGATACACATGCTTCTGAATCGTAACTCCAGATCATTCTGTCAGAATGGCTCGGTATTTATTTAGCCATGGGATACATATTTGAAGAGCAAGCTATCATTAATTTCATACTAGTTTGTACTTAATCTTTAGGAGTCCTGTAAATAATATGGAGGTATAATAAAAATAAAGGGGATTTATAAAGTGAGCTTGGTGGGAGGGGAAGAAGAGTACTTGTACTTAACCAAAAAACAAAAACAAAAAACCCACAATAAAGAAACATTCAAGGTGGTAAATATAATTCCACTGCCAAACTTGGACGTGTATGTTTTTAATAAAGGCTGATAGCCTTAGCTAGGCCTCTCCTTGCTTCTAAGTAGCAATTTTTGCTTCTCATAGAAATGAAGCAGTTCTTGCGTGTGACATTTACGTACCATAGTTCTTGTCTTTCCAAGTATCTTGTTACTGCAGTGGGGATGAGGATGTTCGCTCTGAGTCGTAAATTTTAACAGTGCAAACTTCCACCTAAACAGATTTCTATCAGAATTGCTGAGTGACCTGTTAACTAACATGTTGGTATTCAGCTTGTATACAAGTCTTTATTTTTAAACTCCTGAAGAGAAGCTCAAGCCATGTTTTGTGACTGCTGCTGTGCTGCTTCACACCCCCACTGTAAAATGGCATTTGAAACGGAATACAGGATATGTTACATGTAGCACACAATTTGGCACTTCATGACTACTGTAAGACAAATTAATGGATTAAGCAGACATACAGCAATAAATTCCTGGAATTTCATCCTCTGTGACAAAATAGCACATTTATTTGTTTAATACTGTAAGATTTTCTGGTTTAAGCTCAGCTCTCTAGTACAAATCAGTAAAAAGGCTCTTTTCCTGAGGAATGGATCCAAGAAGGAATGCCAGACTTCAGCATGCAGGCAGGAGCAGCAGTGGTTAGATCTGCTGTAGCAGTGAGTCACAAAATCTGCCTGCAAGTAATTGATGTTTTTTTGAAACCGATGTTCAGGATGAACACTGTGGAATTAGAGCAGATGAAACACTTTGTATAGTCTGGTATGTGTGCTGTACTCCAGCGACAGCCTCAGCTCCTGGGGTCAGATGCTTCCACACTACTCCAGTCCTTCTGTACTACTGGAATTTCACTTATACATGCTTATTTCAACCACGGTCTCACTTCTAGCTGTCATCAAGTTATCTGGAGCTTGTCTCCTTTTGGCAGTGCAGTGGGACTGATCACTCTTAAGAATAGTAGTTGCATTTGATTGCTGATCATAACATTTCAAATTAGTTCAAGTGAAAGCCTTATCTAACATTTGTTGTCTTGTCTTATCTTTATCCCTTAAGAATTTGTCTTTCCTCTGGCCCACCACTGCATGTTCCCTCATCACCTATTATCTATTTGGAGATCCCCAAATCCTTTTTCACACTGCTAGCAATTTATTTTCTCAACTGCTTGGAGTTTGAAGTCCCTCTGCCTTGGTAAATACAGAGCTCAGAGCTTCTCAGAATGTATCTTTTGATTTATTTTATTTTGTAACTCCGGTATCAAATATATCAGAATTAAACTTTTTGTAATAAGGATGTTCCCTCTTCTCTTTGCTGTATATAAAGAACGTCTGCTATTCCTGAGCTTCATAAAGCCTCAATGGCCTTACAGCCTTTCCTAGAACTTCTTTACCCAATGTCCCAGTCAGAGCCCTCGACAAAGCTGCTTTCCTCTCTTATCCAAGAGCAGTAGAAATAAAAAAGTTTTGTCACATACCCAATGTAGAGCAATTGTTAACTGGATGCTGATCATAACCTAATGCCTTTTTTGTTGTTAGCGTGGAATGATGTTCTGTGGAGTAACATCTCAGGTTAGCTGGTATGTTTTATGCTTTCCAACTGCAAGCTGTTGACTTCTGTAGTTGCATAGATGTCTCCAGTAGCCAAAAAATAGAATAGAATGCTTAGGCTGAAGTCATGCATTTCTGTTAGCTATTTTAAGGTCTTTTCTTGACTGCTTTATATATCCACGTTGTGAAGATTATGAGAGTAATGGAAGCAAGGCAGTGTTTCAGTGTAGCCAGAAGCAGTTCTGCTAAAGGTAACACAGCTTCAAATGTGGAAGCGATTCGGTTGCGCAGAACTTCAGCTGTAATCTCCCAGCTAAGAAGCCATTAAAAAAAAAAAAAAAAGAGTCAAAAACAGGGCACTTAAACAAGGACCTAAAGTCATACTATTGCATTCTGTCCTAGTGTTTCACATTTCCTTCGCTTGATTTAGTGAAATTGTACCTATATCACTTCTTGACAAGAGTTTTGCGATGACTTTTCTCCCCTTAAAACAGAGGGATGTTTACAGAAGTACTTAAGAAACACTGAGGGACTGACAGCTAACCTAACCACGTTTCCATGAATTTATGTATTCATCTGTTAACGAGCAGTAAGGAATAGGCATATTAGCTTTATTTTAAACACCAACACATGGAATTCTTCCTGTGTTGACAGAAGACAAAGCCACCATACCACAGGCAGCTTAAGCCCTGCATGTAAATCAGAATGAAGAACGTGCACGTGACTTACTGTAAGGTGGAGCATCCTGTTCCACAGGAGGCTGCTCTGGGGCCAGTGCTGTTCAGTGGTTGAGATGTTTGTTGCAAGTGCAGGGGCACAGCTACAGCTCTGCTTGAGTAATCACATGCACACGTTGAAGAGGTGCATTCTGCAGCTTGAGTCTCTGCTGCAGTGCCAGGAGATGGCTGCTGAGGCTACAAGAAGTCAGAGCACAAACATGGGTAAAGTGTTAACAGTGATGAATGCTTCATAGCTTCAGCCTGGCCATACAATAGGCTCTTTCTAGAATCCTGGCAGCCATTTTTTTAAGCAAACCCATCAAACGTTAAACCTCACTAACACAGCTGGAGCTCCAGTGTATTTCTGGGAAATAGCTGTGTGGTGCCACGAGATGGCATGCAATAGTTCCTTTTGGCTGAATTCACAAGATTAGGCTTTGCACTGATGATATTTCCTCTTGTTATTTTTTTCTCCAGCAGACACTGTATTCAAATGGTTGCCAGCTGGCTGCTGTATGCTAGATAGTACCTTGAAGAATCACAGAGAGGTAACTGTGAAACCAGCTGACTGGAGGCAGCTATGGGCTCAGCTTAAGCTATTTCAAAGATGCAGAGTTCTGCTGCCAGCTTTCCAAGCTAACCATGGGGGCAGGGGCAAAGTTTGTTTTGAAGAAAACAGCTCTGTACAGGCAGGGACTTGTTTTAGATCGCAGAATGCTTAAGAAAAGCTCTGGGTAATATTTCCAGCCTCTAAGACATGTAAGTGAGTGCTGATAAAGGAATCAAGCTGAAGGGGGCAGGATAAGGATCAGCAATGTTTGATTGCGATGGCTTCCTCAATTACAGACTGAGCTTGGTCTGTTCTAGTCAAATGTGCTCACAATCCCTTCCCTGCCACAAAGGCCTCGCTGGCATCAAGCTGAGGGTTTGGCTCATCAATTGGGGTTGGGCACATGGAATCTCTCTCGTTTTAGGTTTGAATCCTGTAACGGACATAGGCAAAAAGATCACACTGCAAAATATTTCTGCTTTTGTAAACTGTGTGTAAGCAACTCGCGCTTTGTAGTCGTCTTCTGTGCATTCTTCAGGACAGTGCCAAGGATTCGTTACATGTCTGGGCAGAGCTGTGCTGGGCATTCTACAGAAAACCAAAAATTCTTAATGTGATTTGCCTACACCATCTGTGGTAGAAACTCTGGCTGCCATATAAGGGGGAGTCAATACTCACCACTGCACACTGGGGTTTTTAAAATTAATTATTTAAGGTGCAAGAACAATCTCATAAAACAGCTCCCCAAGTCAAACAAAACTGCATTCAGCTAGGTGATTCTTCATCAGTTCTGCCCACCCTATCACCTACTCCATCTGAAGAATTAAAGCTCCATAAAAGCTAGAGCAGAGATATTTTGTTAGACATCAGATTGCTGTAGGATTTAGTAAGTTTAGCAAGGAACACATGCCCTTCTCAGGAAGCCTCAACTCATATTAGTTGTTAGGTGCCACTGTGAATAGTGCATAGATGCACTATGGTGCCAGTGTGCAACCAAAAAATAAGAATTTCACTCTGGGAACTGATTAGTCAGTCTTAGGAACATCCTTTGCACAGTACTGCACATTAGTACCAAGGCACAGTTTTTGTGACATGTTACACTCGGTGTGAGTGATCGCATCAAGACTCATCATTCAAAGGCCACAGATCCAGCCAGGACAGGCATGCAGAGACCTGCTCTGAGTAGATCTGGCTAAGTAGCATTAAGTGGGGTTCACCAGTTTGCTACCTCCTCCTCAGCGAGGCTCCTTCTGAGTCCCAGCAGGTAAGTGCAACCCCATCTCTGCCCATCAATCACACACCCCTCTGTGCTGCACACTCGCGCACCTACAAAGGCAGAATTTTGCCCTTAAGAGAACACTGCAAATGCAATTGTGCTGTGCTTGCAAGCTGAGTACAGCCCTACCAAATAATCAAATTCTCAGCCTTTGATCCTATAGGATCAGAAGATAGGGCTCCTCCTCAGTTGTGCAATGTTGTACTAATTTCTTAGTGCAGTGTTCTGTATTAGGCTCAGCTAATCCTTTCTAAAAGCTGTTGCTCAGCTCACCCACAAAAGAACTTCAGAGAGACCACAGAGGTCAGGATCACCTTGGGCAGCCCATGGCAACAGAGAAAGCCACTTCTGCCAGCAAAACAGCCCGCTTTAATAGCAGTTCTCATGGCTGAGAGCTGTTTACTCTTTGCAGAGGCAAGTGGCTGCAAATTCACATGCTTGGTTCATGGAATTTGCAGTTTAGGTGAGCTATGAAAGCCCAGCAGAAACTGAGAAACAAAAAACAAGAGGTGAACACAAGCTGCAGAGCCTGTACTTGAAACAGTACCTAGTAAGGTAGGAAGATGCTGGCAGATAAATCAAGATTTCAATTAATTAAAGGACCTTCCTCCAGTAACAGTCATTAGTAAAAAGCAATGCAGATCTATGAACTGTACATTTGATAAGGGGTGCCGAACATAATAGGGTCCCAGGGTTGGTTCTTCTGGACTTTCTATTGTGCTGTGCGTTACGGCACTGCCTGGAATAAACAGCTCATTCCAGAGGTCCTGCTCCTACATGAATGTTAGCCACAAACAATCAAGTATCTTCAATAAACTCACCTGGTGTTAAAGAAATAGCTTTGATTTCTTCTCACTGCAGTATGCGTGCACTGTATCACACAGCTCAGAGAGTAGCTAAGAGTCAGCAGTGTCCACCTTGCTACCATCTCTGCCTTATCCTCCAAGCTGATTTCCCCGGAAAATACATTTTTCTCAATCTTCAAAACAGTCCTCCTTAAAAACAAACAGAAGATCTCAGATCTCCCACTGTATGGGCTTGGAGATGTGTGTTGGTTGCACAGCTTCAAGATCTGGAAAAAATCAAGCTAAGGGAGAAACAGCACAACTTACCTATGGAACATTAGAATTTGGAAGAGAATGTTGAAAATGCTATAGTCCATGGCTCGATTGTAACAGTCAGCAGGCACCGGTTGGGTTTGATCCTTCGTGATGGTAAGGCTGGAATTGAAAAGGTATGAGAAGTCATTTCCCAATGCAGTTTGTGCCCTCAGGTGGGCTGGAGTTCTCACAAACCAGGGAGCGGAACAAATGTGGTCACAGGCAGTGGCAGCAGCTTCCTAAGGCTCAGCCCTCAGACATTAAGAGACGTTCCTGTACATATAAACAGTGCTTGGATAAAATCCTGCTGGAATGCAACTGCTAAGAAAATAGGAAGCAACTGGAAGCCTCTGTATTGCCAAAGAGCATGCTGAGCACTGGAAATGTCTGAATTTGTAAAACAATTACCTTTTGTTTAAGGGTTATGTTTTTTATTTGAAACGTATTTCTTGTGCAGCTTATAAGCAACACCTGGTCAGAGAAAGGAAAAAAACCACGCTTCTTGCTCTTGGGCATGCCTTGTGTAACAATGGAAAGGAACGCACTGTTCCTAACACATTTCTTGTCCGTTTTCATTCCCAGCAGCCAAAAAAAAGAAAGAAAAAAGAATAAAAATAACATCCTTCTGGATTGCATTATACTATTATACTTCTGATTATTTCTATCCTAAAACTGCATGTCATAAAGGAACAGGAAGGCTTTGAGGGAGTTGGGGTGAAGCAGCCAAAACCTTGAGGTACTGAGTGAAATGTTCTTGAAATGCTTCTTGGGAACTGCCATACACAGCTCTCAGGGAGGCCTCGCAGCACATCCTTACCTGGCTGCCCCTGGGACGCCCCAGCTGGCAGCACTGGGTACCGTCCTTGCTGTGCCCACCTTCAGCCCGCAGGCCTCTGCTTTGGACGCTGTCTCAGTATGAATACGAACAGGCCCTGTCAGAAAGGACCCGCTGCGGCAGCACCTGCTGCCATATCCTGTGCTACAGAGGAAATATTCCAGGCTAAGGCCTAAGGGCATCTCAGATTCTCAGATTCGTGACTTTTATCCCATCTCCTGCCCCCATTTTCTTCTTTCCTTACTCACCCAAAGGAAGCCCACATCATTTCTGGATGGTGCCTTGCACTGTCATTCTCAAAAGCTAGCACAGGCTTGCTAAAAATAAGTAAGGGTTTTTTTTGTTTTGTGTGATGTATAGGAAGCAAGAGGCTGAAAGAGATCTGTTAAAGGACAGAAAAGCCAGATGGCCTTCCAGTTAATAAACATATGTCTCAGATTAATCAGCATAACTATCTTAACAGAGAAGTGCTCAACAGTTGTTCAGAGCGACATTGTTCAAATCCCCATTAAAAAAGGGTGAAACAAAGTCTTGGGTTCAGCAATCCAAAGCACAAGCCTGTGCTGAATTACTGGAGCAAGACGAGAAACATTTGCTGTTTTGTGGGATGCTCTCGCTCCCCTCCTCCCCCCCAGCAGAGCACTCACAGGCACTGCAGTCCTCCTCTTTGAGTTGCTTTGGCTGGGCGGGTGATAGGCAATCAGTGATTGCACAGGGAGGAGGGCTAGATGGAGCAGCAAGCACTATCCCATGAGCAGCCAGAGAGAGCAGGGTGCTGGCTGCAGTGCTCACAGAGGCCAAGTAGGGTGGTGCTCATCCCACTGGTAGGTGGGCACAAGCACACTGCCACATATTGCCATGGGAATGTACGTAGTCATTAATGTGCCACCTCACAGGAAAGAACAGATACTGCTGCAGTTTGCAGCACAGCTGTAAAACAGAGACTAAGCCCTCAAACTTAGTAAAAAGGAGCCTGAAGCAAATCAGAGATGCAGATGAGAAGCAGGAGGGGTTTTCAGTAAAAGAGACACAAAGTGGCACCTGAAGTTTATAGAATCGTTAAGACTAGAAAATACCACCAAGATCATCTAGTCCAACCATCGACCCCGCACCACCACGCCCCAGTGTCACACCTAGCTGCTGTGGAAGCTTCAAATCTATGGATGAGCTGGAGGGTATTCTCAGATTGAAACTTCAGCTGATAGTGGTAGATATGTACTGTTCCCAGGCTTTGTTTGCCTCACCAGAGGCAAGAGGTTATCTTTTACTCTCCAGCACGGTCTTTGTAATGCCACATGAAATGGCATTTTTTAAGGTTACACTGCAGAAGGAGCACCTGGCATGGCTGTTGGCTGTAACTTTGCTGTCAGTTACTAATGCTGACTCTGCACCCCTGAAAAGGATTTACACTCTGGGCCAGGTACTTCCTCACTGGGGATAACTTTTACCACCACATCTTGCTGGAACAAGATGGCTTGAAAACTAGGAAAAAAAGAATGAGGAAATCAGTGATACCAATTATACACCAAATGAAGGTAAGTCCTTCTGTCTCAATAGCACTTTAATTATGCTTGGATTTGAATTCTAAACATAGATCACAAGCATTCACAGGAGCAGGAACTTCTACTGTTGTAATCCCCTCCATACCTAAATTTCTCTCACCTATAAGATCAACATTAAGGATCTATCTGCTGGAGTCACAAATAAAAAGGACGTTGACAGTCCACCGCTTTCTTAGAAATAGGAAACGTTGTTTAGCAGTGTCTTATCTCTGGTATTTGCAGTGAGCATCCAGATTACTTGGCCGACTTCTCAACTTGCTGCAGTAGCTCTGTGGCAGGGCCCTGCCTCAGGACTCAGTGCTCTGAACAAGGCAGAGGCAGGACATTTTCACTATGCATGTGTGCATGCATTTATGTGTGTATATCTGTCTATCTAGATCTCTAAACGCAAAGTACTGAGGGACAACAATATTTAGCCTAAGCTTATAAGATTTTAAGTCATTTCTACCTGCTCTTGGTTGAGCACTTGACCCAACGCATCCCTTTTTGGGATTAATTTCAACTTATTCTCCAATTCATCACTACAGACATGGCAAGGAACATACCTATTTGCCTCAGTTTAGTTGCTGGTACATTTCTGCGCAGTGCTGGATACATCCCCTGCATCTGGGTTTTCCACATGGGTACAGCTGAAAAAGACAGCAGAGCAATTTCTCCGGCCCTGCAGAAAATCCCTCCCGCGTCAGCTCTCCTCTCACCCTGAGACAGCCTTCAGATCACACACACCACACCTGTACAAAACAGAAACTGGGAACTCCTTCAGTTCCAGTTGAAGCAAGCATTTCTGCACAGCCAATGTCGAAAGGAGGGAACTGGGCAGGACAGCAGAGAGAGAGAAGCAAACTCCTTTTTCCCTTCCACATCTGGTCAGAAATTCACAGCTTCAAGAAGCCCCATCTAAAAACAGAGATTTCCAAAACATCACCTGCATTTTTAAAAGCACAGAGAGTGCAAACACATTGCCTAGTGTGGCATCAGTCTTTGCTAATTCTTCATCAGTGGCTTCATTTGACTTATAAATACCATTAATTAGTCTAACCATCGATCGAGTGAGAACCCTCAAAACTCAGTGTGTGCCCAGCCTGGCATGTGCAAGGAGAGTGAATGCAGGTACATGGTTGGATTCTTGAGTTCATGCAGGACCTACAAGAGTCATCACTTCTGTGCCCATGGGATATGGAATAATTAGAACACCAGCTTCTTCCTGCACTCGGGCAGTTAGGAAGCACTCAAATAGAGGGAGTGTTTTTGCAGCTCTTATTCTCTAGAGATAATGGTGCAGAAATGGTGTGTAAATGCTGGTAGTGTTTACATCGCTGTGGTGGCTTCCCAGAAGTTTTGGACTTCTGCAATCCCTCAGCAGACAGCACAGACCAGCATGGGCTGCATGGTGGTGGCTCCTATGTGCATCTGTGTGGTCAGGTACTTGTGGGCTGCACAAAATCCTGACAAGGCAGCCATGTGAGGCACCTGCATCCCCTACAGCTGCTGCACACCACTCCTTGCTGTTGCTGGGCGAGAGCACTGTCCCCACTCTCCGGGTTCCCCACAGCATCACTGGTTTGGGTCAGTGTGTAAAGCGTGTAAAGCTGCCGCCAATTCAGGCAGCACTTGGAGCTGCTGTGGGGAAGAAGCCACTTTGTTCCCAGCTCCAGCTGAAGAGTTTCCTCCCTGTCAAACCAAGCAGGGACCAACAGACAGCGCTAACAGCAAGCTCTAATCTCTGCAGTTCAGTAGGAAACCATGCAAACATGAAAGAGCCTAATGCTGGGTACAACTTGTGGTTCTAATGAGAACATGCCCTCAGGGTTTATAACAAAGAAATTCCAGTGGCTTTATTGCATTGTGTCTGAATTTTCCCCGCTACTTCAACTGGATACAGTGCTGGGAGATGGCGACTGGAGGAGGAAGTTATTTGCACAACTGCAGAGAGAAGCGAGCGACCTCAGAAGAAACTCACGGTCAAGACGTCTGTGCAGCACAGAGGCTGGAGACTGCCGCCTACAGCCACCATGTGGGCAATGCCTGCCCTGGTGCCAGAAGAGCATCCAGCTTCTCGTGCCCACCAGCACACACTCCCATACAGCTCCAGCTGAGGTAACCTTACCACAGAGCACCAGAAGACCACAGGCGTCGCAGCCCCTACACCCTTCGCCACTTGGACCGGTAGCTGTACAATAGTGTTTTCCCTACGGGTGCACAAATGAGTGCCAAATGCTACTCTTAATTCTAAAGACATGGATGCTTCTGCCATGCCATCAGAACCTCATTGACTTTGGTGCAGCACTCAGATAATTTTCACATCATTAAGTATTTGTCTCGGGTCAAAAATTCAACCTATTTCATAAAGGTGAAAGGGTATTTCATTGCCCTACAACACAACCAACATGCTATTAAGATTAATAGCATATCATATACAGTACAAACTACCACTGTGTCCTTTCACCTTATTAGAAATTAATTTACAATCACCATCTCCTGTCACTAGTAAACCTTTACATCCACAATATCCTACAAATACCATGTGGGAAACCACAAGCAGTGAGCATCACATGAGCATGTATGACACGAAGGAGATAAAAAGTGATACTTCCAAAGGCCTCTGAGCTGTGACTGCATCGTTTTGAAGGACAGCAATGGTAGTCGGCAGTGAGAACCAAGAGAAGAGCTGAGGTACAACATTTCCAGCCATTTTCAATTGCAAACGTATTCTTTGAATCTTGCTTGAAACTATTTGGCTCTCATCAATGAATTTTATAGAGTCACCATTATGGTAACTGAACACCTGAATTCTCAAATTCCCTTTTTTTTTTTTTTAAATAATAGACTACCACTTAACACCAAAACTGAGGAGATAAACTTCAGAATGGTTGCAGTAAGTATAAACTGCTTTTAAATGCTGCTGCAAAGCCCCCACAGCAGCCACGCATCCATCCCAAAGTCCCAATCCTTACTTACAAACTGCTGCTCCAGTAAGAGGGATTACATAAACCAGAACATTCTTCTCCACCTTCTGCTCCAGACATTCCTCCCTGCTTCACATAAGCTATAAAGAGAAACAGCATACTCTTAGTATCTGCTGAATCAATAGATTGCCATGTTCAGTCAAATTCTATTAAATACTGATATAGCGTGCCAGTGTCTAACAGCGGTGCTGATGACATGTAAATCCTCTGCCTGGCAGAGGGAAGGAGGCCATGGTGCCTCACAGTGGCCTCTGAGCTAAGGAGAAAACAACTTTCATACTTTTCACCATTAAGAACAGGTTTTGTTTAACTTGCTAATCATAAGAGAAAACATTAAAATTAAGTAAAAAAGATGAATTTCACTAAAAGTACAAGAATTGGGACAGAAAATAAAGGATGAAAGAGGAATAACTCCTCTATTTTCTGTAGCTGGGTTCTGCTAATTGCATGATGTGACAATAACCTTCATGATATGTTAATTTGTTAGATTAGAATGTCTTTAGGTTCAGTCACAAAGGCTCAGTAATAAAACTGCCCTGACTTGTGACAGCTCAAAGAAGACAATCTATGAAATCAACCTCAGCATTTGGTATAGCTTCATGTAACCCTACAAGCAACATGAGGATTTAATGATATCACATCAATGAATGTGAATCGCCATTGAAGAAATGGAATAATATGCTCTGAATTCATTACAGACAAGTGCTCAGGTGTAGTCTGCCAATTAATGTGCGACTTACCTGGCTTTTCAATAGAAAGGCACACGGGGAAGGTATTCCAGTGCTGAAATCAGTGGAGAGAGCTCTGCCAGCTGCCGCTGAGCCACAGCTGTAAGCCTGAAAAGAACCATTTCTGCATGAGTTAGGTTATTTTTGTCAGCGAGAAAGTCTTCCATTATGCAAATATTCAAAGCTGCCCAGTAACTTCTCATGTAGCTGCTTAGAGGTACAACCTAACCTAGGAGAACAGAGGCCACTAAGCCAGCCCCACGTGCACAGCCACTGGGCTGGCCCTGTGCCTCTGTCACTCTCAGCCTGAGGGCAGACCAGGCAGAGGTGTGGCAGCCCTGGGGGGACATTTTACTTCTTCAAACCCTGTGAGCCAGGCATGCCCAACCTGTGGCATGTGGCCTGGCCTGCAGTCACCCTCCCATCCTGCACCATCATGGTGGCAGCTCTGCCCCACCAAGGAGCCCGGCCTTACCCTGTGTGCACACTCACTGCCCAGCACCAAAAGTCACTTCTCTTTCTGTTTGTACTGCTGAAACATTCACTCCAGTAGAATAGCAGCAAACTAGGCATATGCAGCTTCCAGTCGCACCTCACATCACTGGGTGGCTTATGCTGAGACAAATTTAGTAACAAACTAATGCTGACTTTGCAGCCTCACATACAAACCAGGATGAAAGGAAACTGAGAGAGAAACCTGCTCAGCTGCATACACACCAGTGAGATGGCAGGGAACCGATCCTCACAGCACAGCACGCAGGACAGGAAGTAACAGACCGAATACAAAAAGAAGACTTCTGGTGCACCCAGCCCGGCTGCTGCGTTGGGCCCCCTCCATCGGACTGTGGTCACAGGGAGGCAACACAGCTGGGCTGGTCAGTAGGCAGTGCTTGTGGGCTGTGGGCTGTTTGCAGTCCTGCCTTCCCTACCAATACAGCACTGCCAACTCAGCCCTCAGGAGGGCTATTTACAACCCAGCAGACATGGCAGTCTTGCAGGCACACAGAGAGCAGGACTGCAGCACTGTGCTACAAGACGCCACTGGTTTGTGAAACCAGTCACTCCACTTGAAGTGTTTCAGGCACTGGAATCTGGAGCCTCGCTTGCCATCGCCCTCAAATTTGAGTCTGCCTTTGCCCTGACACCCACCCAGGCCTCCCCACGACCTTCCCACTGAAATCTTCTGCTTTTGGAGTAGCACAGCAGGTTCCAGGAGCACCTCTGAAATGTCCCAGAGATACTATCCCAGAGCTGCTGCCTTCCTGGTGGCCGCAGAGCCTGAGGGCACACACAGGTCTGCCCTCACCACCCTGCCCATGGAGCTAACAGCTCACAGAACAACAGTGATTCATACCATACTTCCCAGCTTGTGCTTTTTGGCAGAGGGGAGAAACAAGATTTAAGCTCGGAAGCCATCATCGTGGACTGGTTATAAATCTGCCTTGGGTCTGTGCTTCTCTATGATCAGAAAGACAGGAAAGCAGAAGCAGGGATTCCTGGATGCCTTAAGACTTAAGGCATATTTTCCCTTCCACGGTTTTCACACACTCTATTCAGTCACCTGGCTAGGTCCCCAGCTCCTGCGCAGAGTCCCAGTGACACCCAGCACCCCAGCAAGCTGAGGGGTGCAGACAGCGGTGCTGTGCCTCGCAGACCCGTGACTCGCATACCAAGAGGGCTGGCAGCTTTGTGGGCTTTTGAAAGCTTCTCTAATTATGCAGCAGTTTGCTCATAGCTGCGGTGTGTGCGGTCAACAGCACTTGGGCAGCTGGCCAGCAACACAATGCTCTTCCCATCTTCTTGCCAGAGTTCAAAGCACTTTTCAGAAAATTAGCGTTGACTAGTCTCTCTGAAATCCACATCTATCAACCAGCACAAACCAAGTTAAAGGTGAAAAACGCTCCACAGATTTAACAACTTCAGTACAAACAAATAAAACAGTGCTAAAACACAGCTGTTTTAAAGAAACAAACCAACCACTGTTAATTGTGACTGCAATGACACTATAATCACGGTAAGAATTCATCTTGCAGTTGCTTCTATAACTCACACATAGGTGTTTATATCACACAGTAATGTAGAATTCTAGCATCTTTCAGGACACATGGAAATTTAAAAGTATTTACGTGTGTAAAGTAAGACTTTCACTTGCAAGGTTCATTAAGAATCGATGAAGTTTAATTTCATTTCTTTAGTCTACCTGCTACTAAATCAGCAGAAAAACTTGGGGAATAAAGCAATGGATGATGTGTGATGAATCTACTAAAATGTGCATGAAATACAGTCTAAGCAAAGGATGTATGAATTACCTAGAAGTGATCAGCATTTCTCGACAAGTCGCAGTAATTCAGGCTTCTGGATTCAGTCTCAAGGGTACTTCTATCCCAAGCACAAATTGCTGAGCATCAGTCATCAGACACCAACTTGGACGTGCTGTGAACACAGAATAAATCCACGTGGGGATACAAAATTTTTACTGACAGTACCATAAGTTGCTTACCTCCAATACACAGGGTTGTGCTTGTGTTAAGATCTTGCAACTTCGATTTGAAAGATGACACAGTGATTCTTCATGTGCATATATGAAAATGCATTAAGTGTTTAGATTTCAGAAGTAAGCATCTGTCAAGGTGGAGTAACTGTCATGTATTCAGCCACCACTGCCCATATTCCCAGATTCTAACAAGAAGAAAAACAAGCGCGCATGTAATCAGTACAATGCATAATCCCCCTTTTCTTTAGGTAGCTCTACAGTTTTCGGTTACTTCAACAGTTCTCTAACATATTGCTAATATTGCTACGTTGCTATTCAATGTACCACAACACATTCCAGATACATGAAAATAGTTAACACAATCTTACCTCTTTTCTTTAGGCAAAACAGTCTATAACTTCCAAGACACAGAAGAGGATATAATGAAATCTAATGTTAGCATGCAGCCATGGCAAAATCCTTGAACCCCACACCTCGGTTTCACACTGGCAGACGATGGAAAGGATGCAGTCCCAGTATGCTGACATAACATAAATGCAGAAAATATCAGTCTATTTTTACAGCTAACAAATTCTAGAGAAACCTACTGAAATAACTGGAACTGTTTCTGTGAGACCTACTCATTGAAATAATGGTTATTTTGTTATGACAGATGCTTCAAGTTTTATGGAAGTCTCCCCTTTCAACCCTACCATTGCTTGAATAAATTACTCTGTTACTTCTGTTCACCATCAAAGTGAACTTGTTTTAATAGGTGAATGTAGCTCAGCGATAAGGAAAGCAGATTTGTCCTTTGTTAAAACACAGAAATGCAAAACCTGCAAAAACACAGAATGAAAACCTTGAAATTTCAACTGTCATTGTTTATTACTGTTTTGGCTACATTCTCTACAATTTCAGCAGCATCTTAAAGAGACAGTTAATGTTTCTTTATATACAATGAAAACAAAATGGCTTGCAACATCAGAAACAAGAGCAACAGTTTAACTGTACAATACTAAATGAAAACCTGTGGTAATAACAGCCTCCTTTTTCTGAAACATGGACAAAATTACAGATAGTATTCAGCATCCAGAATGGGACAGTAAAAAGAATAGTGAACTGGAGAGAGATACGCTGTTTTGAAAAATAAGTTTCTACCATACAAGGCAATTAGAAAATGTTTCACATTTTAAAATACCTGTACAAGCCACAAGAAACATTTCCTTGTTGATAGGAACTTCCAGAAATAGAGAATAACCATGAGCAACTTCTACATCTAGTACTGATGCACTCTACAGGATGAGAGTGCAAGAAATTGACTTACGGAACTGTATTGCATACAGCCAACACAGTTCAGTTTTACATGCCTTGATTGTTGATGAGTTTCCTACTCAGTCTCTCTGTAACATACAGTTTACTTGCACCTTAAGGAGGTCATCTGATTCTTTTGCTGAAGTAAAAGCAACACTGTTTAGCAGCAATTAAAAGCGCCTTGAGGGAGACTTAAAAAAAATACAATATCCAATTAGAAAAAGCCATACTTTAAACATTTGTACAGGAATAAGTTGCTGAATTTAACTGAAAATGTGACATCTGTACAACAATTTACAATAGAGCTAGAAGGGAATTTATCATTATTCCTGCATAGAATATTATACATGACCTGTTTGCATTTGGTTTCATACTGTTGTTTGCTTTTATCAGAGGCCTGGAAATTTTCACATGTTTCAATACCACAGCAAGTACAGTATATTTAGAAAACTAAGCTTATTTCAAAATTAGCAACCTATTTGAGAAGTAAGTACCAGGAATGCCCTATCAACCTAAATTCTGTGAAAGAACATCACATGTTTGGAGGTACAAGCCTGAGTGCCAAATAAAATACTATAATTTCATTGAGGAATCTGATGTAGGACACAGCTTTGACTGTCTTGCATTTCTTACTTTGGTTTCAGAAGATCAATGTCTTGGAAACACGGCAATTCATTTAGTTTATTAACCAGACATGGAATTTTTCTTGTCCTCAAATTTGCTTACTACCTTTTAAAAAAATTTTAAATAATGAAAAACTACCCTTCATGTTAGAACTTTCCAGTATCAACCGAATGTACTTTAAGTATTAAAAAGATTATTTACAATGTTCCCCAGAAAAAACTAAAAACCTTTTCTTCAGTCTTAAACACAGTATACCTGTTAGTGTGCAACAGGCAATGTCATCCTTCAACATTTAAAGGTTGTTCTCTGAAGGGTATATCTATTCACAGTCCATGACCCATTCCAATCATACAAACAACACTATGTAGGAGGACTTCAGCCTGAAAACACAGTTATCAAACTTGTCCTGCGTAAAAACACCCAAATGTTCTCAAGCTCACGTCTGCATCTGGAAACTACACCAAGGTATCATGCCATTCCTCAGTTGGAGAAATTTCAGTATGAAATAATGCTTGAAGTAGGTGGCGTAGGGGATGCTGCTAGCCCAGTCATATGTAAGTTTCCTGAAGAATTTGATCTCCTCATATGGGGGAGAAGGTAAGGATCATTAGCCAGTTGATGGACATCAAATCTATCCTCTTTTCGGTATGCTAAGCAGCGTCTGATAAAGGCCTAGAAGAGGAATGCAGAAAGTTACAATACCATTCCAAATCCATCTGCTTACAATCAATAAGCATGTCCTCCCAGATAAACCAGGTTCTAAACAGACTCTTGTTCTTATATAATTCCATTCAAAGACAGCCTAACATTCTACTACAGATTCCAATGAAAAATAGAGTACACTGTAGCAGAAAAAAAATCAGCAAGCCTAATTGGCTTAAACTAATCACACTTCAAACACATACTTCAGACAAAAAGATGTATGAACTATATCTACAAGCAAAACATTAGCATTTCACACAGGGAGAATTCTTCTTGTGTTACCCCTTAACAGCATAGTAAAAGCAAAAAGCAGATATCTGAGAAAGTAGAAAGGAGCTCCACGGAGCTTCTAAAACCATCCAGTAGTACACTGCATGAAGAGCAGAAAATGTAGGGACAGTTGCCACTTTCAACAGGCACTAACCAAAAGACCATTTAGGAAATCACCACCTAGCTGGAACTTCTCTCTCAGAAAGGAGTCAATTCCAACTGATCTAAAATATCTTAAGAACTGGGAAAAAAAATCTCTGTTTATCTCCAGAGCTGCTTTTGAGACACTGTATTGTCCTTCATCAAGGCCCACTTGGTATTTGTCAATTATTGCATGATCCAAGTTTCTGTTAAGCTTCATGTCTAATATATACAGAACACTCAGTCTCCTGGGAACTTGGGCTTCAACATTTAATGACAGAAAATCCTTATTACTGCTACAGAACTCATTAGCACATCATTACTTAATCTAGAATTTAAAAGAATTACATATCTTTTCTTGATAAATCTCTTCAATTGTTTGTCCTCTGCTCCAATTAAATTTTCCTTTAAGCTCCAGTTTTTAATCTGTGATGTAAGATGCAAGTCCTAAAGAATCCTGTTAAAATTTCCTTCTAACATACATGTATCTTTGGACATTTGGGTTTTTAATTGAACTCTTCTGAATCCCTAAGAAATGAGTTGCTAAGTGTAGTTTACAAAGTTCTCAGAGTAACAGATTGTTTCTAAAATGTTTGTAGAATACTTTGAGGTTCCATGGCAGTGCAAATATTACCATAATGCACAGGACACTGCACAACTTAGGAAAAAGTAGCAAGGACCAAAGGACAACTACAGTGTGGAAACTAACAATGTCATTTCAGGTTCCGTATTTATTTCATCCCCTTGTTTTCCAAATCAAAATTTTGGTTTATTGCTGTTCTTTTCCAACTACCAGACCTATAAATCTACACAGTCATCATAAACTGTCCAAATTTACAAGTTAGTCTGAAATTGTTTTATAGTGCTTCCACCAGAGAATAATTTCTCCCTCTCTTTTACAGCTATCGTGACATTGTTAATAATCTTTCATTATTCTCCACTCCTTCTTTTTCAAACAGAACAAGGAACAGAGAATATAAAGTAAGTAGCTAACTACATCAGAACCACAGTGAATTATAAGCTCTCTTCCGATGCCCTTCAGAAAAACACTACAAAAAAAACGCCAAGTTTAAAGGCAGAAATATAAACTGCTAGCACATAACATTACCAGCTATCAGTTCTATAATGCATATTTGTCAACTGCACTCAAAGGAGATGATTTTTCCAAACTGAGATGAACCTCCCCCAAATGAAACCAATCAACAACAACAAAAAAAAAAACAACAAAAAACAACCATCACCACCTCCTCCAAAGTAACAGGACAAACTATAATATTCAACCAAATAGTCATAATTCTAACTGCAGCTCATTCACTAAAACTAGTTCTAGAAAATGTAGCCAACAAAACACACCACTACTGTTTATGTCCCTGATATAATTGTTTTCTTGGAAAGCTATATCTTCTAAAACTGTGTTGCCTTTCATTTTGATCATGAGAAGCTCAATTGTATTAACATCCTTAAACTTTTAGCAGCCTTTTACTTCTACAAACAAGTAACTTGGAATATTTTCTTCCAAGTCCACAGAATTGGATTTGTCATAGATGCTCACATTAGAAAAACAAACAAACAAAAAAACCAGCAGAAAATCAGTTTAATCTGTTCTCCTTATCGCTAGTCTGTGCACGTGTGTTTGATACTATAAATTTCAAAATAAGATTATCAAAACCCCCAAAATATTGCAATCCACACCTTTATATCTGATCAACTATTTTAGCTGTCTTCTTTCCTGAATCAGCATCAACAAATATTAATCTTAAGAATTTGTGCTTCTAAGCTCGTAGACAAATTAATGCAAGCATAGTATGACCTCTGAAGGGGAAGATGTTGGCAGGAACACTCTCCAGGTATTCAGTAGTCAAACAGTCCTTAAAACCAATAAGGCTGGAGAGAATAAACATACACTATTTTCAGAGAAAGCTTCCACTGTTTGTAGAAGTATTTTATGAGAACTTTTAGTGAGACAGTTAAGGTTCTCCACAAAAAAAGGAAAGCAGGTGATTTTTGAGAGAGTCTAGTTTAAAGTTGCTTGCAGATTTCTAGATTATATGGTCTTGCTTTCAAATACATGACTTTAAGAAGTCCCAAAACAAATTTGTTGAAAGAAAGACATGAAAATATTAGTTTCTTCATTATGTTTTCCTACATGTTAATTTACTATATACAACAGCACTCTTAACAGCAATTTTATAGCTGAATCCTTAAAAATAAATGAAACAGGTTTTAACCACTGCTCTGAGCTCATATAAAACATTACCTTGGCTTCATTGCTAACAACAGGCTTAACAGGGAACTGGACTTCTGTGGCTTTTAATATTGTATTTTCTTGTAAGATATCTTGCTGAGATTGATTGTGGCCAAATGGCTGAAAAATAAGCACAGGATTTTCTTCATGACAGTTATCCAACCATTTTGATTTCATAAAAACTCATGCAAAAGTCAATTGATTACAGCGTTAATATATGTTTCTAACCACTCTTTCAATTAAGAAAACATTTTAGTCAAAGCCTCTTACATTTCTCACAGTTATCAGTGCACACTAGCAAAAACTAACACAAGTCATTTGCATATAGATTCACATATTTACAACTACTGTTCACATTCTACTGTAAACAGGCAAGCACTTATACTAACAACTTAAGATAGATAAACAATATTTTCCTTACCTTTCTACCATAAAGACACTGGAAAAAGATTACTCCAACTGACCATACATCAACCTTATTAGAAATCTTTGGTGGCTCTTTGCCAACTACAAAACACTCTGGAGGTAAGTACCTGAAAAAGAAAACGTGCCTCAGTGTCAGCAAGCAGATGTATGAATCACTAGAACGTGTTCAAAGATCAGAAATGGTATACAAAAAAATTTGTGCAACTTGATATTTGAACAACTGTGCAGTTATCTTACGATCCTTATTCCAACACTTACAACACTGATCAAAACTGACAATACAATTTTTTGTATAGTCAGGCAGCCAAATAAGGAACCTATTCTTTACTTAAACCACTAATAATCACTAATTATTCAAGCACTGGGATCCTATTAGGGTAAATATACACCTTCTGTCTCTGTTTGAACGTGGAAAGATGAAAGCCATACAGGACAATTTAAAGCTAGGTCTCATTAGGAATCAAATGTAACATATATATGATTTTGAAGTTTTCAGTAAGAATACTGACATTAATAAGAGAGTTATAAGGTAGATAAATGTGATCATGTTTCTATGCCTATAATTTCCATGGAAGCCATACTTGAAAAACTGAAAACTGATTAAGTTCTTATGGTATCCCTGAATTACAGAGGAATTTATGCAATGCAATCTCCTTCAAAAAAAATAAAACCAAGAACTAAAAATATCACTATGAAGGCAGTTAATTATTATTGACTGCAATAAAAATCTAAAAAAGGGGGTAAAAAATTCTTCAGAGCCATGACATATCAGACATTCTTTCATCAACAGCGTGTAAGGCTTTAAAAATAATTTACAGAAATGCCTGTGAAAATGGAAATAAGTAAAAAAAATGAAGAAGGCAACACAACTATGAATTTCATACAACATAAAAAAATTCTTCTGGAATACCTGTGCACAATTTTGATTACAACATGCAAGAAAGATGTAGTCAAACTAATGCAATTGCATAAAAAAAACTACCGAGATGACATGAAGAATTGAAAGCCACAATTCAGAGAGAAGCCAAATGCTTTAAAAACACAAGGGAGCAAGTATCAGGAAGGGAAACAACCTAAATCAAAGGAGGCCAGTGTTGGTGCAGGAACAAACAAGTACAAACTGGCTACAAGCAAACAGTTCTATAAATTAGAAGATTAAGTTTCTAACGATCATAGAACCAAGGTTATGGAACAAACTTCAAATCAGAGATGACTGGGGACAAAATACTGAATTTAATACAAGTAGCTGTAAGTTTACAGAACAGATTACATGACCTGAACGCTTGGAAGAACAGATAACTTGACCCAGTGACTGAAGAAATCTCTCCCACTACTACATTGCCGAGTTCATGCAATTTGCCTTACACAGATTATCCCCATCTCAAACTAACTCAAAACTTTCCCTCAGAGAAAGCAAAAATTAGAAACACAGATTTATCATCATTGTGTAAAGGTCACAGACAATTTTAGATCTCTCAGTTCACGACACCACTAGTGCATGTGGTGCTTTAGATGAAAGCCAAAGGCCCAAACTTTTTGAATAGTGTTCCTACAATTAAATATTTAAACTCATGCTTAAATTGGAGCATTACAGAAAGCAGTAACAGCCTAACATTTCTAAAATGCTTTCAGTTGGATGACTATCTTTTCACAGGATGTGCATCCTAAAAATTTTCAAGGAAAAGACAAAATCCGTTAAATGCAACTTTCAAATACAGGAAAAGTTTAAGAAGAAATGGGAAGGACACTGGCTTCTCTGTTTAGAGTTAAGAACCAAAAGCTGAAACCTATCGTGCTACAGACAGAATGAGGAGAAAAACAAACAGATGAATTCACAAATAATCATCTAGTCAATATAGACTTTCTATTCCACTCACCCTGACACAGGTACTGTGCACACAGGCTCAAAGATCTACTGTGTCAGCTTGCATCTTCAAATTCTACAAACAGTTTTTCTGTTAGCAATAAAATGTTTTTTTTTGTCTTTCTTGCTCTGTAGGCAGATCTAAAATTTCAGGTTTTTGGACAAGTATGTGGATACACACAGAAAACAAGTTACAGCTGCTCAGCTGTCATTAACCTTTAGGATGGAAGAGTAAGTACTCTTTTATCCTAAGGACATTACCTTCTGGTAATCCCTGCTCTAAGATTTCCAAGGACTAAGCACCCACACTTAATCATTACAGCTCTGTCAAACATCTTTAACCACCTGCAGCCAAAGATTAAACACCTGCTTCTTCTGGGAAACAATGTTTATAAATCACAGAGATTTGCTCCACATTTTAAATATACATCTATTTATATCTACATATAGATTCCTAACTTACTTCAGCTATGGCACTGTTCTGGAATATTCATGAATATCAAGATCCACAGTACAGCACAAAAATCTTTGTTTGTTATTCATGTTAGTATTTTTAATCCTAGATATCTCTAGGAATCAGCTTTATGAAAGCATTTCTGAAGCCTCAAAAATGATGTAAGCAATAAAATCAAACCAGGCATTACCAGTAAGTTCCTGCTCCCTGTGAAGTTAAATCCATTCCATCCACACCATAGCTATCATCATCCATTATTTTGGACAAGCCAAAATCAGTAATTTTTATTTCTCCACATGCTGTTCCATCTACAAGAAGAATATTACCTAAACAGAGGGGAAAAAATACATTTTTTAACTTCAAAAGATGCCACCAGAATGCTTCGTTTTCAAAACCAGCCACAATTTTCAGGAACATTCAACTTAATGAGGGGTCAATGACATATTTATATCATCTTTATGGCCTCAAGTCTAGAGCAACTGGACTACGACATTTTAGTGCTATCTCAGGAACTCTCTAGGTTATCACTACTATCATCTCAGATGGCTTGCTCAACTTGGAGCTGACTGGAAAGCAATATAAAACAGTATATTAGTCATAATGAAGTTCTGTATTTTTCTGTCCAGAAAAAATTCTGAACTACACATTTCAGGGTTTGCACATGCCAGAAAATAGTGTCAAGACATGCCGCAGCTCAAAAAAATCTAGTTCCACATGTTAAAGTTGTGCAAAAATTTGATTTTAAAAAATCATGTGATGAGTTTCCTCTAAAAATAGAACAAAAACTAATGAGACTAAAACTACATCCTGTACAACTTCATAATATGAAATCTGATATTCTTTAATAGAAATCTATATGAAGAATTCAGCAAGCAAACAGCCTGGCACTACTAGCTACATAACAAACCCTAGACTTGGAAGTTTAGGGCATTAAAATACACAAGAAACATAAAAGATAGAATACGTCATTTAAGACAATATTCATTATTATTACTAGAAAACTTGACTAGAATTTAGAGAAGAGATTCAAGTAACAACGGTGTTTACACTGGCTTCTTGAGAAAAACTAAACTATTTCAGATAAAGAGGTAGTTAAAAAAAAAAAAGGCTACAAACATGCAAGGATGCATAAGGAAAAAAAAGATTCAGAATTAGAAAATATTTCTGCAAAGTCTTGGTTGGAAACACTTATCCTTAGATGTAGAAAGTGATTATTCAACCCTTTATAGGCTAAGAAATATGTAATACGTATTTACACTACTAAATATTAACGTATCTACAGGCTCTACGACACTTTCTTACAAATACAAATCTAAGTAGCACAAAGGAAAAAAGTTGTAACAAGTATTTTTATAAAGAAAAGACAGATTATTTTAACAGTAAAACTAGAAAGAAAAGTATCCACCTCTCAGATTAAATTAAACCTGTCAATCCAAAGATCACTTTGGTATTTTGAGGCATGAATTACAAAAAAAAAAAAAAAAAAGAGGGTAAAAATGTGATGACATTTTCAATTTTGTCGTTTCTCATTTACCTGGTTTAAGATCATAGTGTATAATAGGGGGCTTGATCTCATTGAGATACCGTAGTGCATTTACTATTTGCATTACAATGGACCTAGCTTCCTTCTCTGACATCAATTTATGTTGCTTGAGATAGAAATCCAAGTCATTGCCTTCACAGTATTCTAACACCGTGCAAAACCTACGGCAGAATTTACAGACAAAATTAAACACCACATCCAACTGCAAGATCAAAGTTATGACAATATAGTTTAATACCAGTAACTTTAACAACAGCTGCCTGAATATTAAATTACACGAATGAAATTGTTAATAAAACATGTAGCATAATGATTAGACTACGAAACCTGACATCAATCAGAACACAAACAACTCACCAAAAAAGAAAACTTATGCACACAGAAGAGGTGTTACAAAACAGTGTTTTCATCACTTTATAGAAGATCTCCTATCTCTCTCTCTCTCTCTCTCTCTCTCTCTCTCTCTGCAACAAACTTCTGCAACTAGTGGTTGAGGTTTTTCTGCTGTCACTATCCATTTTTTTCCCCTTCTTTTTTTCAAAAAAAAAAAAAATGTCCCTAATGAAACTGTAAGTATTTTGGCTGAAAGTCAAATATTCTTCATTTCTGCTTATCCAACATACAACACTAAAGCCCTTGTCACATTCTAGAAAACATATATTCTCATATACTTACGTATCTGTATCCAAGGAGAAGTAGTCATATAATTTAACTATCCGAGGGTGATCCAGTTCTTTGTGTATTCTATACTCTCTGCAGGCATGTCTAGAAGAAGATTGATACATTAATCTTCCACAATCGATAAAATGCTATTGAATTTAACATATGAAGCGTAAGTCATTAATATTTACTTGTGGTAGTTTTCTTTCTTTTCATCCCTCCAGCTTTTGTTAAGCTGGTGAATCTTCACAGCAGCATATCTTTGTTCATAAAGATCAAAAGCCTAAAAAAGAAACCCACAAATATAGCAAAGTTATAGCCGAAGATAAAAATAACACCCAACAGAAAGAAACAAAACTGGCATGTAATTCACATGCCTATTGTAATGCTACCTCTCTTTCACAGATTAATCAAGGAGCTTTTACTCAATCACCACTTAGCAAGCATACACATTAAAATCCTCTTGCTTATTTCAGATCCCTATTTTCACTCCAGTCCCAGAAATCAAATGTACAAGAGTACATGCTTCAAACACTAGATTTAGTAAACTCAACGCACTCTACCTTGTACACTTCACTGAAGCCACCTCGGCCAAGTAAATGGAGTAACAAATATCGTTCATTCAACGTAGGGTGATCTTTAAACCTTGAAAGAAAAAAAAAGATTTAATTCATTTCTGTTTAAGGTACAAAAACACAGTCTAAAATGGAAATATCTGGGTATTACTTCTTAAACAGAACTTTTCTTTCTACTAGTGACATATAACATACTGAAGAATATTTAACCATGTGCAACTGTATGGCACAGTTATACAATAGTAAATTTTGATTATTTAGCATAAAACTCCTATCACAACTTTATTGTCAAATCCCCTAATTATGGCAAACTTTTTGCCATTTTTCTCTCTTTGTGAGGATAACAAAAAAAAAAAAAACACCCTTAACTCACTCTCTGTAAACACTATGCTCACAATGAGTCAATAGGGAAAAAACTATTCTGTGTTACATTCACTTTGTTTTGAACAGTAATCATCATCAATATCATCAACAGTAGGATCAGTAGGACCTGCATCTACTCCATAGCATGAGCTCTGCCTCTATACTTTCTGAACAATCAGAAATAAAAACAGAATTTCAGCACATTTTTCATCTCTCCAATCTGTTCACTTTACCCTTATTAATAAGCATGCCCAGGAACCATGCAATGCTAATACGCTAAATGTTGGTGAATACTGCTTTGCAATCTGTATCACTAGAGGGCTATGGTTCTCTTCCTTACATCCCACAGCAGGTGTCCTGCCAAAATCACAAACCCTTCCTTTGCATAAAAGGTTTATGAAATGAGATACAGCAGTGCTCTGCTCATTGATCCCAATTTACAAGAAATCAGCTTCTGCTTTCTTGAACTCATGAAGAAGATACACTTCCAATTTCACACAAAACTTGACCAGACCTGTTGTACATACTCATCTTCCAACAAAATGACTTTATATAAGACTAAGAAGTTATAAAACAACAAACAGTAACATGGGGAAAGCATGTCAAATGACTATGTATCTGCTCACACTCTCATGAAAAGCAAGGAGAAAAAACTCTTTCCAAATGCAAAATGTTGCAGGATAAACACCACACTCTCTCCTGAAATAGGCAGAAGACAAAACACATCCTTCAACCAAACCAGTAGCGAGAGTCTGACTGCTCATGTTAGCAACAGTGAAGGAAAAGAGTACAAAGGATTCAGTGAAACATGATAGCTCTGTAGCCCTTTCAGGCTTTGGAAATGGATGGATTAGATGGAAATATGCTTCTCCTGTTAAAACAAGATGGTGAACAGATTGTGCTTCCAACAAGAAATTGGATTTCAGTTTACACTTTTTGAAATACAGATTTCTAGAAAAGTTCTTCAGAGAAAGAAAACTGGGATAAATATTTAGGCAAATAGATAGTAAATAACACATGCAATACAAAAATTGGCAAGTCTTCTCACTCAGAGTAATAGGTGGCCTCATATGGTGCTACTGTATCACTTTAGGACCAAAGATAAAATATTACTAAAATTGGCACTAACAAGAAAATTAGCAAGTTTGTTCATGATTTCCGAAATGCAAAATGATCTTAAAAAATAATAATAATTAAACAGTATTCTGAAGTTACATCAAAAAGTCTAAGCTCAGAGACACACCTAATTAATGTTTGCTGTGTAAGACGTTACTTCTTATATTTGTGCACCTATCATGGAGAGGAGATTGGGGGGAGGATAGTGAATACTCAACACATCTTCAGTACAATGATGAGATGCTTACACTCATGAATCTAAGGCCAGTTGCTAACTATACCCCATGGCAAACTTTAAAGAAGGGTTTAGGGCTAGTATGAGGAAGAACTAGACCAAAAGACTGAGCTGGAGATAAAATTAATCCAGAAAAAGAAACCATGGGAGCTGGAAATTTAACTTGGATCAACTTTCAGCAGCTGTTCACTAGAGAAATGCAATTCCTGGCATGTGAAAAGAAAAAGGGCAAGGACATAAGGAAATAGCTGCAGATAGGCAGAACAAATTTATTGGAAGCAACATTGCCACCTTATAGCACTGATGAAACACTACGTGTTAGAGTTTGTATTTCCCACCATGGAAAACACACTAACTTTATTACATAATTAGTACTTTGGAATCTACATAGTTAAAGTAAACCTTTAATGCCAATTTAACATTAGGATATACTGCCACTTGAGCTGAAGTACAGAGTGAATTTAACATAACACAGAAGATTCTATGTTTGTCTTTCTCCTGTCAGGCACCTCTAATGTAAATTATGGTGCAATAAAACTAACTGACTTAACTGCTTTATGAAATAGTTCTTCACGCATCAAACCTCCCCACCATTTTCTTGCATTACTTTGCAAGCTTATGATCAGCTTATGGTTCCAAGATTTTTTCCTAGTTCCAAGGTATTTTTTTCCTAGTGAGGTGATATTGCAAATTTTAGCATTCCTGCATTATAATCTGCATATATGTATTATTTCCTGCACATTCAGTGAACTATTAAGCTTTAAAAAAATTACTGCGTGTTTGGTAAAACTTAAATATGCTGCTTTTTTAAATGCACACAAACAAACAAGGAACTGAAGAAAAAAATCATGAACCTGCTTATATCCTACAAACAAAATTTGATTTTAAAGCAGTATTTTTAAAGTAGACATGTAAAATCAAGACAGTAAATCTTACTGTGAATTATCTTCATTATTAATTCTTTTCAGTTCTCTGATGTGAAGATTCCTAACTCTTTCCAAACGCTCAAGTTCTGCTTGTATTTCAGCTTCCTCCTGCAAATGAAAAGAATCAAGTATAAAAGCTCATTTACTCCTCACTTGAAAAGGATATTTTTACCTCTGCATCAATACTAGTGGTGATGGAGGAACATTACATTACAAAACCATACTGCACTAGAAGAAAGTACTGCTTTTCTTCTAAAGCCTGAAAAACTCAGAGAGATAAGGCAAAAAATATTTTCAAGGAACTTCCTGTTCATGAATCCCCAGGTAATGGGATGTTCACAGTGCTGTTCTGCACTGTAGGGATGCTATTCAAAATGAGAGGCAGCTGGGTTTTGTACCTCAGCCAAGAAGAGAAATTATCTGGGAAGCAGGCTAAAATTGATGTACGATGAAAAAAAAAAAGGAGATATGCACAGTTACAGATTTTGTACAAACTGGCAGATTAGGAAAAGATGTCTGAAATATTTAGAGGCTGGAGGGTAAGCAAAACATATAACAGAATAAATCGTTACAGCAAAAGTGCTCTTGAAGTGCTGATACAGAACACCAAAACAAAACTAATTTCAAAAGATTTATCCATTTTTATCTTACTAAACTTACAAACGTAGAATATGTATTACCTAAAACCTCAAATGCAATTTCAAAAATACTATGTTAGCTATGAGGATATTCTCTAACTAATCTTGTCACTTAGAACTATGCCATCTTTATGCTGCATGTAAGAAAACATTTAAATAGTTATCTATTCAGAACCTCAACAAAAAAAAAGGAAAAGAAAGCACAAAACCTAATTTATGGAAACGATCACATCTATCCATGTGGTACGCTCATTGAAAGACTGTGTCAAAAGAGCTGCATCTATTTCAGAGTAAGCACCTCTAAAACTTGAAACTTTGAAAGAATGAGAGCCAAAATTAGTCCATAGAAGAAATCTAATAATTACAAAATTACTCTAGCTGAAAAGGAGAAAGAAAGCCTGGCATCTGATACGTGATTTTTTGTTTTCTTTTTTTTTGTGTGGGTCTTTTTATCCCCCCAGCAGTGCCCCACATCTTCTTGTTATTTTGGCACAAGCTGTTTGTACAGCTACACGGTGAACCAGACTTGAAAACTGATCAACCTTTTTTTTTTTAAAAAAAAAAAAAAAAAAAGCAAGCCTTGCCAACATACGCATATTTGTTTTTTGACAAAAGATCAGTTTTCTGATCCAATTTATACTATAACTGCACAATCTAGTGGTGCTCGTAAAGGCAACAAGCCATGGTACAAGGGGTGGAGATTGACATCATCATGGAGGGGAGAAAAATGCTTTAAAGTCAGTGTTTCTGAACACTGTACATCATAAAACCCCATTCTGAAACAACACCTCTATTTATATAATCTAGAAACCTATCAAATAAGTTTAGGAACCCAGACCAAACTATCATAAAATCAAATGATACATTATTTGTTTTTCCTAACATGTAATCTTAAGTGGTTCTTTTGCACTGTTTTTTTTCCTGTTTACAAAATTTGATTTTTTTTCATATGTAGATTAATACTTGTAGATCTCCATTAAATACTCTGAAATTATATGCAGTTCCTCATAACCCACAGGTCCTCTAAGAAGAATTCTAGTTCTTCTTTCTTCCTCAAAAAGGCCACACACTTACACATACACTGTCGTCTATGTTCTTCCTAAAGACTGACAAAAAAACCAACATATCAGTTATACCTCTTTTGGACTTTTTTATTCATATATTATGCAATTCAGTTGTTCTCAAAATGTGGTTCATAGGTCAGTGTTAGTCCAAAGAGAACTGGCTGGTTGCATTGTTTCCAGCTGTTATTTAGGACACTCTGATTGTGAATACCTTTAAGCAAGAATGAACCAGCTTAGCTGCCTCAGGTCACTGCTGTATAAAAGGAATTGAGAAAACAAGAGGCTCTCTCCAGGACTAAAGCAGCTAGTTGGAAAAGAATTTCCTGGGGTGCAGAAGGAAGAAGAGAACTGGTGGTGGCAGAACGTACAGGGCATCAAAAAAAAAAGAGCACGAGGAAAGCATCTGGACAGCAAAAAGGAACAGACAGCAAAAACAGCATATGCAGAATATGAAAGAATAATAAAATGTAGTCAGCAATGACGCACTACAAAAGAAATACAGTAGCAAAAAAAGGTAGCAAAATTATTTTCCTTAGTTACCAACAAAATCTGCATCATATATAGGAATTAAAATGCAAGAATGTATACTTATTATTACTTTCATGTTTATTCAAACATGATTTGCCAAGAAATAGTATTTTTTCCCCTCTGACATTTAGTCAAGTTTGTTCTTGCACAGAGAACTTTAGCAATGATGCTCAAGGTCTAAACCAAATCTAGGTAACAGCTTCTTTCATATATCACTCACAATTTCCAGTAAATATAAACAAAATAAACAACGCAACCTACAGAATTTCATAATACAACTTTAAATGAAGCTGTTGCTATTTCTACTGCAACGAAGCGCAAATGAAGTGGGCAGAGTCTACATCACAGAGCCAGCAAGTTTCTATTCAAATTTCCTACTGTAGGTTCAAGTGTTTTCTAGGCATTCGCTCCAAAAACAGCACCAGTGTTCTCACAGGGCCTAGCTGGCTTCAAGAAAAAAGCACTGCTAGATTTTTTCAAAAGTCAAAAACTGGAATAAAGCACACATAATTTAAGAGACCAGAGAGCTAGGAAATATTTTTTCCTCTCTTGCTATAGATATTATACAACTGAAATGGATATGGCAGATTACCAAAACATTCGTTCATTCAGAACTGCAATGTCCCATACCAGACCTTTTTAAAGGTCCAATTCCAATGTAAGAAGTCACATAAAATTTGACTCCATGTTCTCAGCTCTAAGGCAAGACTGGTAGTTGTGGTTACCTCACTGTTACAAGGATTCTTTACTGCTCCCTTCTACTTTCAATGTCTATGGTAAGTAAACCTTCTCCTTATTCTGGCAGTACTAGTTTTGACTGTTAGGGGCACAATCCAAAAATGTTAAAACTACAGATACACATACCTTCTTGAGATGTCCTAATCGAAGTTTGAAAATTTCTTCCTGTTCGTGATACTCTGCCAGAGTCAAACTGTTAAAAAAAAAATCTTATTTAGTACTCCTATTTAAATGCTACAACACACATATTATTTTATGTTAATTATTTAAAATCACAATACCAAAGGTGTCTTTTTGAACCCTATGAATCTTCACTTTTGTAATTTCAGAGAAAAAGCATGCTTTCCAGAGGAGAAACTGTATGTATATGATGAATGGGGGAAAAAAAAGATATGGCCTCCACAAAAAACGCTAAAAAGACACTGAAGTGATGGAAAAACTAATGCTGGATGGCATACACATTTTACTGTCTTGCTTAGATCTGTTATTTGCATTATCCAAAGCTAGGAGCATGACATATTTTTAAGTAGTCCATAATTTACTGAATTCAATCATCAATAGTCCTGGGACGGTAAGTAATACAATGTACAGAAAACACTCCAAATCAAGTGAAAAACAAAGAAACAACCGCATCCCTGTCAATTTTAGAAGGAAGCAATTTTTTATTTTTTTTTTTAAAGAAGCACTACACAAACTTACCCTATATTTTTTTCCTACTGTAATGAACAGCAGCCATCAGAAATCCAGAAACAATCTGAAGGCAAAAAGCAAGGAAATTCACCTCTCTTCAAGAAAGAGAAGGTCCCCTTAGAGACACATTTTGGCACTAAACTTTCACATTTTTTTCCTGACAGAATCTCTTCTGGGAAGGAAGGAGAGGCATTAAAGCAAATGTGAAATGGGATATCTCAATAGGCTAAGAACACTGGCATTGCATTTCCCAAACGACAGCAAGAAACCTAAAACAGTGCTCTAACTCCTGCTCTAATCAAAGGTCCATCGAAGACAGCACTAAAGCCAAGTTCGACAACTCACAGCAGCATCTCTGATGCTTTTTTCAGTATTCCTTGATCAGCTAACTGCTCTAACATGGATTAAGCTCACAAAAAAAAAAATGCAAAGGAAACCAACATGAATAATGTTAAGTATTATTTCCTTCCAGGTTCTTGTCTCCAGTATAAATTGCAGGTTTGTGTATCTATTTCCAGAAATGCAGATTACGTGAAATTTTCAAGCAGAAGTATTTTAGGTGGATTAGAAAAGCTGAATCACAAGCAAAACACGCTGAAAATATAAAGTCTATAACATAAAATATGCCAGAATTTTCTTCAAACACTAAAAGCCCCAAAACCAAAGACCCTCTGAAAATCTAACATAATACATGATATTAAGACCACAATGTAGACATGGTCTTTTTTTTTATTTTAATTAAATCTCAGCTATCTACATAGTTACAACAGAGTGCTTAGATTGCTCTAATAAGTATTGCTTTCCAAGAACTACTTAAATAGCTCTTTTCAGTGCAAAGCACAAGGTTATATTGAAAACATTAAGATTTGAAGTCACTCTTTCCATATGTCTACATTATATCCCAATAAATCACTATTTTCATTTTTCTATTTCCTTACAAATCTAATTCTATTAGAGACACAGCACAATTAACAACAATTTAAATCTGTTGTTACTGACCACTATGCTTCAGAAGAAAGCATGTAGAATTCTGAACTGTAAGCAGACGTAGTTGCTTTGGATTTTGTTAGCTCAGTTTTGAAAAACAACTTTTTTTTCCCTCTTACATTCAGAAACACGTACTTGTTTAAAAAGCACAGAGGTGAAGTGCTGTTTTTTTTTTAATCTATTAATACACTTTATATTAATGCTCTTGAAACAGAACATAACAAATAGCAAAAGGAGGACAATGTGCATACTGCCTGTTTTCTAGCTACAGGCCACCACCCCATTGCAAAAGCCAAAAACATCCAAGCTTAGAGAGTGCTTCCACCACCTTCCACCTATGGTCATCACTGGGCGTCCACATCTGACAGCAGAATTCACCTACATTACACCACTACTTCCTGCAGAAGAGGCTGCTCCTCTGTCACACAAGACCAAGGCAGGTCTCATCAGATGTGGAGGAAGAAAGACCGAAGAGCACATGGGAGGGACAGTGGTTGGTGACAGGTTGCCACCATCCAGTAAGGGCACTGCAGTTGGAAAGCTGAGCTTCTGCTTGACAGAAGGAGTGCTGGGGAAAGAGAATAGCTGGGGGTAAGCTGCGTGAATGAACCTGGTAACACTCGGGTCCTGACCATGACCTCTTCCACTCAAAACTGCCATGCAATAAATGCTGTGTTTTAACAGTGCAGCCAAATTAACATCATACACATGCAATAAATTCCTGAAATTCCAAAAAAGTACTGCGTATATCCTACACATGCATATTTAGACATCTGTGACATTTAGAGCCTTGGTATGCCATATTTATTTGTCACTATAAGAAAGCAGACAGCCTTCCTACCCTGAAAACTTTGGTATCACAATTTAAGCATTTATTTTATTAGAGGGAAAAAAACCCAAACAAACAAACAAACACAAAAAAAACCAACCTTCCAGTAGTTTAGCAATGTTTATAGCTGAATTTCCAAGGCTTTGACACAGTATGCATAGGTAACCTTACCAATCTCTGCACTTCTTCCTCACAAGTTAGAACAAAACCTTCATCTGTGATAAAAACATACCTGCTAGTGGCCAGTGACAAGATGAAAAAAGTTCAAATGGCCACAGACGCCTTGGTTGCCATGACAATTAAACCCAGCACACGAACAACAATCTCTTTTCCCACTGTTTCCCAGATGAAAAATCATCATGGATACATACATACAGCAGAATGCTGCCATGCCCCAAAACAGCAATTTGCACATCCAGTGGAAGCACTTGGGTACAATTTGTGAAGTGCTTTTTTGGAGGGGGGGGTTCAAACTTATTCAAGTTCCTAGAATTTCTACAAAGATGGGCAGCAAACGCTGACCAATTCAAGATTTCCCTGAGGTCTTTTCACCATGTCCCATTTCTTCCATTGTTTCCACGTCTGCCTCAAAAAGAGACAGCCTCAGGAAAAGAGCTGTTGTCACTCATTCTGTAAAGCCCAGACACATTGTTGGCACTTCAATCTGAAAAAGTTTCTGAAAATATTTTTGTTTGTTCCATGCAGAACAGAATGCTCTCTCTAAACGATGCATTTGTTCAGCTACATTAACAAACTCTGCCAGCTCTTTATGCTCTCCTATTTCAAATTATGTACAGGGATGAGAATGCATGCAAGCTCTCATGGAGTAACTGGGAAAGCAGAGAAATCATAGACTGGGTATTAAATACAACCAATACACCTGAAGGTGGATGGGAAGGACTATACCACCCAAATTACATCAAGTTTTGCCTCCAGAAATAATATTCTGTTTAAAAAAACCAAAACACTTTCAAAGCTCTCTAAAGTTACTGAGAACCTGGAATGAACTTTTGGAACACATTTTCCCAGGGCTCCCAGTTAACTCTGTTTTAAATAAATGTTTCTTCTTCAAATACATTTCAATATACTACTTTCACTTAAGATTAATAAAATTATTTCATTCAGTAAAAAGGGATCTCTCAAAACTGAAACTACTTTTCTTTTTGGTTGGGGACAAAAAAAAACCTGAATGCGTTTTGGAAAATCAGGATAGTGTTTAAAAACACATGTAGAATGAGCCTGAACGCCCCAAATCACCTTTCGCTCACTGAGCAATGACAGATGGCCACTTCTGTATTGATAACTGCAGTGCCAAGACCTTGCTTTTAAACTGATATCGGAGAACGTGTCCTGCGAAACCAAAGCAATGCTCCTACTAAAGAATGCCTTGGGCAATACCTTATATTGATTTCAAAACTGTTAACCACTGTTTTCAGAAATAGCTTCAATAACACTGCTTGTTACACAAAGCTATAATCATTTTCTCTTGTCAATAGCTGAACTAGAGATAACTTCTAAAGCAAATAATGTTAGCAACGTAGGGACACTTGTTGCTAATAAGCAGTAGCAAGTCGTTGGTTTCCTTAAAAAAGATTTGCCTAATCACTTGCATGTATGTTGTGTTGATTTATTACTGTTATAGTTTTATTAATCTCAGCAGCTCTGCATTCTCCCTGGCCTAACATAAACAGAACATCTTCCATTTGACTGTACAAATTAAGATAATTACTTTTGACGTAACACAGGAATGGTGATAAGCACAATGTAATAGGAGGGGATCACATGCAGATGACAAACATACACAAAAATGAAGAGCACAATTAGTAATTGTTTCAGCAAGGTACGCAAAACAGCACTGAGAAGCAAAGAGGAATCAACACACAGCACTGCTGTGTAACATCGTCACAAATCCTTAATGTAAACGTTTTTAATGTCCTTCAAGTAAAGGCTTAAGAGCATGACACAGCTTAATAATTCTGTAATCTCAGGACATACTAGAAACCTTCTCAGAGGTTTGAAACAACATTAATAAGCTTGTCATAAAAACAAGAAATCTTACATCTAGATGATGATATAATCAAATTAAGCAAAAGTAGTTTCCATTTGGTAACAGTTTATTAGACACAAAAGGGCAATTCTGATTGTTCTCTTGGCAATTCTGTTACACCAGGCATTTTCTTGTGTCATTTAACACATCGGTTAAGCTGAATTCAATGAAAAACTGATTTTTTTTTTTTTTTTGTAATTTGCCTTGGTCTACTTACTAACTAGACCCTACCTTCTGTATTTTTTTTCCCAGAGTGTACATTTTAATCGCCTGCTAAATTAACAACACAACTATGAACATTTAATATGAAGGAAGAAAAGATCAAATGCACCTGTCAGGTATACTAATGAACAGCAAGCAGTACTTGCTGGGTTATCAAAAACCATTTAAAAATAAATCTATGTCAATGAGAAGCAGAAAAAGCAGCACAGAATTCCCTGAATAAAGAAAATAAACCGGAAATACAAACTTCCTACTGCCACAATTTCATTATTTTATTTCTATTTCATAGTTAATACAATGCTATGGACTGTTAAAAGACATACAGGAAAAAAAAAAAGCCATTATTTATGGAAGGATTCTAAAATAAAATTGCTTTGCATATCTGAAATTTTAAAAATGTTCAGCTCCCGAAAAGCCAAAAATACTACATGAACTTCTGCTGTTAATGTGGAAACATAATGGTAGCTTCTATAGCAGGAAATATGTCCCAAGTACAGTCTAGAGCATTAACACTGGCCCACCAACTACAGAAATACTAATCTCTCTCACTGACACGGTAAGCATTCAAAAGAAAGATACCTCTCTTCCTGATTACTGATTACAAGCTAAGAATTGGCTAGAGTTATATGGACTCAAACGCTCTGAAAATATTGTTTGGATGCCTATTCTATTAATTCTTAGTATCAACTGAAAACAAGGCTTTGTCTTCTTTTACACAGATATTCCCATTAAAAGTGGAGATTGTAAAAGGTGGTTATACATTTGCAAATATAACATGCTGGTGAATTAAAAGTTCTCTAACTTTTCAGATTTTTTCATTTCTTAAATGTTACTAACATTTATTACATTGAAACAAAAAGGTATTTTTAACATGACAGTAATCTACTGCTATTCAGAAGTATTAATTATGCTCTCAGAGAAGCAGCATAGGCACTAAGTGTTGCAAAGAATCAATCTGAGTGATCACTCTTGAGCTCTGCCAAAGGACACAAGTAACACTAATCAAGACCTGCTTACACTGTCAGCCTTACTAGTATATTTTCATGATACTTGTGTCACAGCCAAATAATTTCACAGTGCAGTCTTTAAGAATGACATGCTATGTAAAACACACACACCTCTCTTTGAACTGATGCCCCAAACAAATAATTTTGTATACTTAAGTAAAGGAATTTAGAAGTTCCCTTCCCCCAGGGTATAAACTACCTACACAAGTGAGAGGTGACATGTGACAATGTGCAACAAACTCAGCCTACTTCTGCAAAGAAAAAGGATCAACTTGCTAGTCTTTCTAAACTTACTTTTCATTTAAATGAGGAACAGACAGACCATCAGCAACAGCCTCACAACAAGGGCAGTAACTACCATATGCAAGCAGAAACTTCTTAAAATGCTCAATTAAATGTCAAGAATACATTTGTCTGTGCCCTGAATTTCTGTCCACAAGAAAATACTGCCACTTGAAAAACTGAGAATTCTTTGATAGCCCTTAATTCTATGTGTAAACTATGAAAAATTTACAGTGTCAATATGTGAAATGGGATCAGTAACTCCTAACAGTTGCTCTTGAGATTTGCATTCAGAAAAGGAAACAGATTTTTTCCATTTCTTTTTTTTTTTTAAATACATGTCACCAAATACCAACACTCTTCTTGCCAGATAACAACTGTTAAAAAAAAAAAAAAAAATTAACTAAAGAAGAGGTTCCCAAGCCAAAGAGGATGAGTAACAGTTCAACAGAAATCAATAACACTGCAAGAATAAGAAATCAGAATAAGAACTCCTCTACATTATGAAAATAGAAGGAACACTGCATAAACACAGTACAGACCTTTCTCTGGTGACTCTACCAAAAATAACCTGGGCAACTGTACAGTATCTTCATAGGCAGTGGTGCAAATTTTCTTAACATCAGCAAGTCCTCAGTGAGAACATAGCTACTGAATATACTGAATGTCTATTTATGCTGTTATTTGAATGGAACTCACATAGACAATATCAGAGAATTTATGTAAAAGACTGATTGAAATGTTAAACTTACAGCTGTGGCAAATTGGGTCTAACAAAGGGATCGTTTTCTGCCCCATTCACAGCTTTATTTTTCCTCTGCTTGGGTTCAGAATTGGCAGATGGTGCCTGAGAATTATTTGTAGTTGGCGGCTTTCGCTTGGCCAGGAGCTTTCTTTGCCTTTCAATGTCTTCCCTTTGTTGATTCACCCATTCTTGCTGCCTGTAAACCCCAAAAATGTGTTATTGAAGTTTCATTCTTTTGCATTTTAAAATAACTATCTTGTAAGCCGGTGAAGCATTAAGTTTAGATTTTCTTAAACAAATTTACTGTGCATATTGTTATTTTTCATAAGAAACATTTTTATATGATTCTTCATGAGGTGGAAAAATTTTCCAAAGTTTTCGAACTATTTCCTTTTGTGTTTTCTTTTTCTTTTTTCCCCCCTTTTCCAAAGTGTTGCACATTATTACTGCACTGAAAAAAATAATACGTATCTGAGTTGATGGATACGTTGTTTTATACCATCAAAATAAATGTAACAAAAGCAATAAAGGAATATCTGATTTTCAAAGGCCAAATGCTGAATTTGATCTGACTATTCTCAAGTAAATCATCAGTTTGGTTGTGGGGCAAACAATTACAAACCACATACATAGATTTTTTTAGACAATCTTAACATCCTAGGCAATCACATAAAATGTTAAGACAACACAATCCCCTTCAAAAACCAATGTCTTGGTAAATTACATATATAAAGCCACAGACTGATTCAGACTCATTAATAAAGTACATCTTAAAGATGCACTGCATAATTACTTTACCACCATCCCCGACTGTCTCCCAAACTGCTCTCTGTTGGCCCCATTTCTGCAGAGCACTGAAATACCTGTTGCAGCAGCAGCTCTTTTCCAGCTGGCCACTTTCTCTCATCCCTTTGGGCTACACTATCTGAGGGTGCCAGATTTGTCCCTCATCTTTCATGGCAACAAGGAGCTGGATGCCTGAAAAAGCTGCTACAAACATGGATGTGCAGAGAGCACCTATGTGACATGACCAGTGAGAGAGTCACAGAATTCATCTGTTCCAATGATCAACACTGATACTTGGGTAGCTGCTTGAAAATATCACTGATATAATTTCACAGCTCTTTCTACAAGCTGAGCTGAATAATCATAAGCTACTCATTTAGTATATTCACATATGTCTGGAAGGATGGTTAAAATCAAGTAAAACCAAATCACTTTTCAAGGACATCCAGCCTCAGTGTTCCCTCAGCTGATTAAAGGAGGCTTGTGCTGTATTCTCAGTATTCAAAAGGCAAAGCAACATATAATGTATGAAAAGCTGCTCCAAACTTAGAATCTCGGAAATAAAAAAAAAATCCACTACAGGGAACTAAGTGAGAATTTAAGAACACTGCATTGACTAACTTTACAAGATTCTGAAATGCAAAGCCATCTGTCCACTGCTCAGTAAATGAAGCACCATGACGAACTGTTGTAAAATGCCCCAGGCGTAATCTGTCTTGCATGCTCTTCTCTCTGCTTGCCAGCTTCTCTTGTGTGCTCTAAGAAAACAAAATATATTCATATTTAGTAATACTAAAGAGTTAGTACTAAAATAAAAAATCCAAAAAAACCCTTTTATTACCTTACTCCTTTTATTCTAACTTCTGCAGAACTCAAATATCTGCGCTTGTCAGAATCAGTGCTGCTGATGAGTTTGACTCAGTTTCCCTATAAAGTTTATTTATGTTCATAATTAAAAGAACATTTGTAAATACAGCAGAATCGATAAACTATCAGTATCGTAAGTGTATTATGAAAATTACGTTTGTACACATCTATTATAACAAACAAATCTTAGATACTAGGAGTGCATCAGCTCCAGTTAGGATACCATTACTACTTGAACCAAAGTGACCAGGTTCAGGAACCTCTAGGTGGGACTGGACTGCACACAGGCATAAGTCCAATAGATACCAACTTCCAGTAATATGAGCAGATGCTCTCGCTGAACCTTGCTGACACCAGAAACACCTGTGGGACATGACAATGACTGAGTCTGCTTCAGCACAGAAAGAAAGAGAACTGTGAACACTACTGATGGACAGAAACTTCTCTAATTGTTACAAATGCTGGCTCCTTCTTTGGCCAATGGCCCAAAACCACAGAGTGAGAAGCTGATGGAAATAAGGATCATTGTGCTAACAGACTTCTAGACTGAAGACAAAGCATGCATGGCCTTTCAAGAAGAATTTCCTATGTGATATTCTCAGTCTGAAGCTGTTCACCTAGCATCATATGGAACAAACCTGAGACATATTTTCCTTGTATTCTCCTCATGCTGGAAGTTTAAAAGGACTGAATTAACTTAGAGCAAATTCCCCCTAATCTCAGATCAGTCTGCATTCTTGTATCTGACAGCAGCACATAGTGTTAAGGAACAGATGTGATGTTTTATCTTAAACTGTTTTATATTTTCATTCGTAATGAAGTGATTTTCTGTTCATTTTTCATTTGTTATTCTTCTAACAAGGCTATTTTGACGAAGAGGAAGAGAAACAAGGTATCCTTGTCTTTCACAGAAGAGTGCTGCAAGCTTCAATATAACTGACATTAAATTTGAAACAGATATTTCTTTAGAAGAACTATGAAGTCAAATGGTCATCTTCATGTTCTTGTTTTCATTAATTCTGGACTAGCATAGCATTTCATCATTTACATCAAAAATTATCTCAGACAATTAAGTGTCTCAGAGTTTATAGAGATTATTATCTGGCTCCTCTACAGAATGCATTAAGTTCAGATTTTTTTTTTCATCCACTTAGAAACTTAAATTTTATCCAGAGTGTTTTATGCTGTGTTATATCTGAATTAATCATGAGAGGGAAAAAAAAAAAATCAAAAAGACAAGTGTTTCATGATGTGGAAAAGGCTCAGTATTCTGCTATTCAGGATTATAAGAGAATACTTACTTCCAGATAGAGACCATTACTACAAAGTTTCAGTAGAGACTAATTGCAAAGTAAAACCTAAAATGAAGGAACTATAATCGAGTTCTACAGAACTCAAGAGTTTTTATCACAAACATTTTAAAAGTAAACTTACCTTTTCAATTAGAAGCTTCTTGCTCATTGAAATACATTTGTTTAACCTTTCCTTATATTTTTCAAGTAGCTTTTGTTGTTCATCTATTTGTCTTCTAAGATCACAGTTAGCCTAATAAATACAGGAAATATTAGAAGAAATATTGAAACTTTTTTTCTTTTTAATCAGATGCCAATGAAAATAAAGGTAGCTACCTTCAACACATGCAATTTTCACACAGCTGAAGCACAGAACATACATAGATACACACATATAGTAACAAAATGTTTATATCATCCCTATAGATTAGGATGGATGTGTAAAAGATGTTTCTCTGCTTTAAAAACAGGAATATACTTGAAGTAAAATGCATTCAAGAACATTACTTCCCTTACAAAGCTGCATTCTGTATTAGACAGTACTCAGCTTGTATATTTTCTATATATAAAAACACTGTACTGGTAATTTTTTCCAGTCCTCCAGAGCTGAACTGATGTTAATTTAGCTCTGAATCCTTTGTGTTTGATTGCCAAAATAATGAAAAATTCTAATGCTTTTCATATAAAATGGAACTTTTACATTATGGACTTTCATTGTGAAAAACTTCAATTATCTGAGTAGAAAGTATACCAAGTTTCCTATGTTGCAGTTATCTTTATCAACTTAGAAAAACACATTATTCTGTTTAATTGATTTTTTTTTAAAGGTTAGCTTTCTACCTCATACTGTTGGACATGAGTTGAACCAGGTACCCACAAAGCCTGTGAGCAGAATTTTGTATGTATGGTACCATGGACATATACTTGCACACATATAAACACACATAACAGACTATGAGTTGTGAATGGAGCGCTCTTTGTTTCTTTATAGTGTGCAGTTTATTTCACATTCCAAAATATCACCTTTCTAACCCTACATTCAGGGATATAAGCACTAAGACTCCTTTATCTGAAAATAAGTATTTAAAAAAAAAAAAAAACAGTATAGCATAGGGTAGGTTCTTATTAAAAGTAGTTATTGCCCATGACAGTTTGCTACAACCACCTTTGTTCTGAAACTGCAGCTGTCCCACTGATGACTGTTACTCACAATAAAACAAAACAAAAATCCATTGTGTGAAATTATATTAAGAACATAAGGAATTAACCAACTGTTTGAAAAACAACATCAGCATTTTTGGAAACCTGAGAAGTATAGAAATACGTATTTAGTTATTAACAAGCATGGAGAAGAAAAAATATGGAGAAGAAAAAAGCCTTAAGCATTTATTTTACAGGCTTCTCAGATTTTCAGAAAGAAAAAAAAAAAGAACACTTTTCAACTTTTCATTCATGTAATTCCAGGGTAACACTGAAAAACATTGATTATTTTTGAAATTTAAAATATTTGCTGAGAATCCGTTGCCTTTTTTTCTGAATAGTTTTACCACAGATCTTACACTTACCCTGAGTAAGTCATCTATACGACCTTCTTTCTTTTCCAAGTCTTGATTTTTATTACTTTCTAGTGCAGCTAATTTCAGCATTGTGAGATCAGTCTGAAAAGAACATTTTATAGTATTTAATACTTTTCTTTAATAATTACTGCATTATTTTTGTTATGTTTGTTACAAAGGGAAATCAACTTGTATCAGCAGCACATATTACTTTCATGTATTTTGGTAGTGACATGGAAGTTTCATATTCAAAACTGCTTTTTCCCTTCATTAGCAAGAGCTGGGAACAGCTGGAACAAATCACTAACAATGTGAGAAGACTTTATCACTCATGAACAAGTTCACAAATGTGAATATAAAGCAAGACAAGAACAAAGATGGCAACACTGAGGGCTCCAAAAATAACGCCTCCCGTTTTATTATGTTGGTCCACGACATCAGAGACAGATGTTGGTGGTATGCAGTAGAGGTTGAACCTTCCCAACAATAGTCTGTTACATTTTGTTGCCACGTGACAGACTGCAGCAGAAGGATACTGGCAAATTGGCATAAGACATGGAACTGTGTATGAAGTAAAAATGTGTGACCGAATTTCACCGTGCAGAAAAAAATCACACCTGTTGACATTCATTGACACTTCCTGAACATTTATGGAGACCAAACAGTAGATGCGAGCACAGTGAAGCAGTGGCTGGTACATTTCATCAGCTTTGACACAGATGGGAAAGACAGGTCGTGTTCTAGAGTATCACGCAGATTTTTATGAGTGTGACATACAGGCTCTTGTTCATGGTTGACAAAAATGCAGAGCTAACGGTGCTGACTACGTTGACAAATAGTGTTTACTAGCTGAGAATTCACTCTACCATGTAGTGTTATTATTCTCTTCGTATCTGTTGTAATTTCCACAGAAATAAATAGGAGGCATTACTTTCTCAGTGACCTACACAACTACTTCAAATCCTGTGTATTCTGTCAACAGCCAGAACAAGTTAGTCTTGTTCTAACTAACTTGTGAAAAGAAGAACAAACTGCATTAGAAATGACAGAGATGATGAAATGTGCTATTGGTTTTTAATGTCATGACAGGAACTATACTGCATTTTGACTATCATCTCACTTTTTTTTCTGTTTTGTTTAAGCAGTTATATGACAACAGCAGCTGCCATCTCAAGTATTATCCAAAAGAGAAGTCTCTCCTACTAAGTTCACACAACAGTTAAAATCTTTTGCAGAAGCATACCAAGCACATTGTCTAACTGCTCACAAAGCACAAAATTGGAAGCAGAGTGCAAAATACAAAACTAATTCAAGAGACTGCAATTATGAGCTGCTGAACTTAAAAACAAAAGTTCTTTTGAAGACTAAAAAGCAAAGCTTCTGAAATCCTTTAAGAGTTTAATAGTTGAAAACCCAAGAAATAACATATCTACCAGTTTTTCCTATAGTTTGAAATTACATGCTGAAAAGCACTTACCTGAGTAATTTTAAAAGATAACTGCTTTGGTTGCGTGGTAGGGTGGTCCCCAAAAGCTAATGAAGTAGGAGAAGGACTATTCTGTCGAACCTGGAATGCATGAAAACAAAGAATTTTAGCTGTAACTGTAATATTCAATTATGAACATAACTTTGTTTACAACTCTTGGCAGGATAATGATACAGAACATAGAAATACGGTGTCCTTATTACACAAGGTACTATATGGTACACCGCATTGAGAATTATTGCTATGCTGTTATAAATCACTTGTATTCTAGAAAGGATGCAATATATTATCTAAGAAAACTAGGACTGTCACTCCTGGGAAACAGATGGAAAGATTTAAGACAATACAAGACTGACACAAGGCAATGCCTGTCTTATAAAGACTTATTTTTCTGATTCTAAGATTTTGCAACTCAAAAAATAATATGAGTTATTTTTGGAGAGTTTATTTCCCATGGGATAACTTGAAAGGGGAAGCTAGCGCTGATCAGAACACAAATTGTGTTACTGAAACTTCCCAGAAACACTGATTTGTGTGTTAGGCATTGCAGTCCATAATTTCATTAAAGCCCTTATGTGAAGGCCAGAAAGGGCTTAGCTTTAGTGCTGACTTGTGAAAGGCTTGATTTTCTCCTAATAAAAATCCAAACAGCAAATAAAGGGAGTTCAGCTGGGTGAACCTGGAACAGAGGAGTCCCAGTAAATGGGGCTAAGCTTCTCCAGACTGGGCTTCACCCAAAGGATGATGGTTTAGTGGACACCATGGTGTTATAGCGAGCATGGGGTGATACGTTGATGACTGGACTTCAAGATGGTTGGACTTAAAGGTCTTTCGCAACCTTAACAATTCTATGAGACAGTACATTCAAGTCAACTTCCACAATCTTTATTACCCTCCATACAGTTAGCAATATGTTTGAAAGTACACGGAGTGAAATTAATGTCTACCATCACAAAAAACAAATCATTTCTGCAATCAGCAGAATCTGTGTGGCCATTAAGAATCACATGTATACCTAACACAAAAATGAGCATGAGGGGAAAAAAATGAATTTGGGACTAAGAAAAACAGTTAATAACAGGCAAGTTATTATTTAAAAACTTATGATTTATCAAAAGCTTAGCTTTTAAGTCCTGCATCAGGGGTTCACATTCCCTGAAAGTAATAAAATAACCGATTATTTTGTGTAAAGCTTATAAATAAACACCAAAAGAACATTTTAACATTTGTAAGTCATTTCACGCTGCTTTGTGTTCAAAAATCATTTTATAAAAGAATCCAACACAACAGTGTTAAGAATTTACTTCTAGAAAATTTTAAATATTCAACTTGATCCTTTTTTTCCCCGTGCTGTTTAAAAATGAATTCCTTCCTATCATTCCTTCCTTTGAAAAAGCCATGATACTTTTAGAGAAGGAAGCTATCTCCAGCAGTCATGAAGTTCACAAACTTACAGAAGAAGGGGCGGAATGTGAATTCTGAGGAGATCGGATTGCAGGAGGTACACCTCGAACTGGACTAGAACCGTTGCCACCTTGGTACTGAAGAGAAGATATGACCCTCAAATTATTCAACTTCTTTAATTAAAATATATCATACAAACAGTGAATGACACAGCTCATCTGTACAATGAATACGTAATCTAGATTGCATTACTTGTACTATTAAAGCCTTGCGTCACCTAAACAGAAGTGCAGAAGAAACTGTTTTCTGTCTTTCAGTTCAGGCTGCACCAAGAAACTGCATCTCTACTTTAAACCTACTTTTTTAGGTTTAACACCTAAACTTACATTGAAAATTTTTAAAAAGTATATCATATGAAGAAAGGCTATATTTTATTCTAATTAGTATTTTCATACACAACTGTAAGAAGGGTAGCCTACTAAGAACAAAGTAAGGCTATGTTGTCACTGCAGAATTTGACAACTAAGGAGTTCACAAATACCACCTAGAATTGCTTGTAAAAAAAAGTAAATTTAAAAACAAAAACCTTACTTCAAAATAGTCACTAATCTTGTGGCCACGTCCCCCGATACTCTTTCCTGAAACAAATACATGACAATAGATTAAATAGATTACTTACAGATGTGTTACATTTTTACCTGTATAATAATTATTGCAAAATCTTAACACTTGTTAGTTGGTTTTCTTTGATGTGATAATACATGACCTCCCAACATTAGATAATTAGGGGATTGGTTACAACAAAGAAATCTACATGTTCCTTTCATTCAGAAATCAGAAATCAACCCATACTTCCAAATCAGATTTAGTACATGCTTAGCAGTAAGAAAGACCTCTTCTAGATAACAGGAAGCACATCCTTCATCCTATAGATGAAACCTTTAGAAGCAAGTGTCTCCCTTTTTCAAGCGTTATCTCCAAATTCACCCACATCTGAAATACCAAATTAACCCATTAATATTATATGCTCCAAGTGAGTTATTCTGCCTAGATGTTCAGCCCAAGGACTTCTCTAAATGCCAGTTAACACTGTGGGTGTGGAAGATGATGAGTACTTCCATTCCTCCCAGTGTGAGTAATAATCAGACTTCAAGTCACAGCATCCACTACAGAGATAAATAGAGCAGAACAAGATAACAAAATTTCTTTTATTTTAACCAGTAACAAGACAGGAGCACCAACTTGAATTCACCTTTCTTTAACAATCCATATGCAGCATTCCAAAAATCTCACTGATGCCTTATCCAATGGCATAAATATTCTATTCAGCTTTTAGACAACATGGACCACTGCTCAAACTTAAAAACCTCTTCCAAAGAATAAACTTTTGTAATAAGTGATTATTACCACAAATCTCTCTGCCATTTTCAGCAAAGCCTTTCAAGCTTTCCTATTGCTTCAACTCTCAAGAGCTCTTTGTAGTCAAGCATGTCTCTATACTGAGATTGCTGCATAGTATTTTGTCACCAACACTCACCATGAAGAAGATACATATGGCAGTCCTCTGTGTGTCAAAGACTTTTAGAAGAAATATTTAGATAACTGAAAGACCTAGAAGAGCACACATAATTCCTCCAGTGCTTACCCCATTTCTGTACATCACTACTACTGCCCTCTAGCCAGGTCTTTACATACCATGTGATTCTGTTAGATTTGTCTTTTTTGTGCTTGATTCCCACATCTCACTTTATCAAATTAAATCAGTTTTCATCCAGATAAATTAGAAAGGCCTTTCTTTTAAATAGAAATTCTATTCCACATCATGTTATGTAACTCTGCACTGATGGACTGACAACATCAACTTATTTTGGCACAGTCAATTAGAAGCAGATTCACTGATTTGATCCCACTTTCTAATTAATTAGCTCCATGTCCTAAAAATATTTCAGTCCAACCTTTCTGGATGATTTTGCATGTTATGGTAGATAAAATCCTAGGTATGTTGTATACAACAGCTGAATCCCTTGTTCCTCATTTTCCAATAGCAGTATTTGCTGTGCTTTAACTATACAACTCCAATACTGTCATTTTCTACACCTGTTCCTACAGAATATTGCAGTGCAGACTATTCAGTTTTACTGCTACTGACAGTAAAACATTAATTATTAGGCATTACAATCATGTTGTGTATGCCAAAAAGTTCTTAACTATCTTTATTTTCCCCAACTCCTCCTTGTAGTAGGAAGGACAAGCTATCAGTCCTATTTACCAATGGAAATAGGAAACTTCATTGAAGCTTTCTGAACAAACTAGGTCTCTGAAGTAACAAAAAGAAACCCATTCTAGTGAAACCATATAAAACTTCAAGTAATATTATGTTGTTTCACAAAGACCTCTGGATATGGAGCCCACTATCTGAAGGGGCATTTCTTAGCTTAGAAACAAAAAAAAAAATCTAGAAGATATGTCACCAAAACTCTTGATGAATTTTTGCCTTGAAATTTCTATTTCCTCTCTCAAAAAGTCACATTAAAGAGAGAAACAAGAAAAAACAGGCTTTGTAAACATTCAATTGAAAGTCTGTCTCATCCCAAGTCTCCCACAGCTCTAGAGCACTACGCTGTATCCATAGTAAGAAAGTATGAAATTCAATTATGTAAACATGTAAAACAAGCAATCAGATATTATAACCAGTAATCCACTTTTCCCCTTACCTACTAAAAATAAATACAAACCACAAAAGTACTGCTAGTTTTTAAACAGTACATAGAATGCCAATGCTGCTGCAAGTTATGCAGAGAGCAAATGCACAACTCTTATGGACAAGTACCAACACAGCCCAGGTTTAATTGCCCATCCCTTTGACAGATGGATAAATCTGAGGTAGCGTTAAAAGATTTGATGTTTATCACCCTAAACCCAAGATCTGTATTACACAAGCAATACTACAGAATTTTTAAGCCTGGCAGTCAAAAATTTGTGCATTATCATTTAATCAAATGTATACAATAACCATATAATTCATTTACAGTTCACCTTGGCTGCTTTCACTCTGAGTGTCTGCTTTTCTTTTTCTTCCTCTGGAAGGTTCTGACTGTTTCTTCTCTGGAGTCTATGAAGAACAGAAAGAATGTGATCCAGCAACAGCTCTATTTACTTCTATCACTGCTACAGTATTGTGAAATAAGCTGGAATTTTCATTCATAAAATACGACTTCACAAATCAACAGGAATGCTGTTATTTCAGATCTTAGTTGAAGTAGATAATGACTCTTGGTCAATCAAACAAATCTGAACTAGAAGAGATATTGCAGGAAGTAAGAAATAATTCTTAAACATTTGTCCAAGAGGCAATTATGTATATTAACTGTAAAGCCATTATATCTTTTCATCTGCTCTGGGGTTTACGAACATCCAAATTTATTTGATCCAAGTTGCATTTCACTCAAGAAATCTTCAGGTTATAGATATGGGTATTCTACAACTCTCTTTTATCATTAACGAAATAATCTGACTTTTGATTGAGCTTACTACACACTGCCATAGAATAAATACAGAATTTTAGTGCTTCATAAGATGACAGTAATCTTACTTATTTTTAAAGTATAGAAGTCATCTCTAAGCTAATGCAATTTATAGATTTATAGATTTAAAAAGTTTTTTAAAAGCTCAAAATGTGAACATCTACCCACTCCGCCCTCAGTTTCTCTGTATCTCAAATGAAGTCAAATAAAAACATTAATGGTAAGTGAAAGAGTATGGACTCATTCAAATTTTTTTCAGGAATATTACAAATCACTGCCCAGAAATGACAATCAGAGAGTGCAACACTGATAACAAGAAAGGGTTTTGATGAGAAGCACCTTTAAGTTTTATTTGTTCTCCCTTGAACTGAGCATTCAAAACAGATAGTCCCCCTAGTGTAAGTTACATTGCACAAGCTGCCTTGGTTCAAGGCAAACATGCTGCTTCTGTGCATCTAGTCAGTCTGCAAGGAGCCTCATGCCAGTTGCAAGAGAAATCACAGAAGCAATTACATGAACTCTATTTTACAGTCAAATAATGAGTGGTCCCTAATATCTTGTACTAAACATGATATCAGTAATAAGATGCTTCATTCTTTTATGATACCAATGTCTTAATCATTTGACCAAGTCTGTCAGTTTGTGCTCATAGGATTCTTTTTTTCATTTCAGTAAATATAATGATAATTCAAATTTCAACAGATCACTGAAAGAATTTTAAATACATTTCAGTTCCAAAAACTTCACGTAGATACCTTCAAATATAACTTTTTTTTACAAAACTCTTGAGAATATTTATTTTGGCAAAGAGGTTACTTGTAATCTACAGAAAATCAGCAGTCCAGAAGGGGAAAGCCAGGACAAGAAAGCTCAAAACTTCCTTAAATTATACTACATATTTATACGACATATTGTTTACAAACAGTTGCAACTGTAACTTTTTTACTAACAGGCTACAAATGAAGTTAAAATTACAAATATTTATTAAATATTATTTTAAATTAACTCTTCCAACTACAATGTGTATGCTTTACAATTCTACAATTCTGTACACTAGCTACTGAACAGCATAGACCCCTGAAAAGAACGTAAGCTAAAAACTACATGATTCTCAAGGCAGAACATGTGGCTTAGATACACTATTTTTTATCATGTGCAATAACTGTCACACAAATTGTTAACATTAAGCTATCTCCCCACATAACTGAACTGAAACTATTTAGCCAATCCCTTTCACCTATTTCTTAATTAAAACTTGGTAAATTTGCAAATAACCTTCTAATGTAGTTAGTTTTACCTACCTTATCAAGCCAAAAACTCCCCAAACCTTGTATACAAGCTAATTCATGCTTAACCGTTCAAAATTCTCACCCAAGAAAATTAGTTTCCAACTGCAGTGACTCATGCATTCCACTCAAAGACATTTAAATAGGTTTATAGTCTTAAAACTAAAACTCAATCTAAAAGTAAATGTCTATTTCATCAAGCTCTTCTGATTTCTTCCAGTATCTGATTTAACTTTCTGAGCTGAAAACACTAATGATGTTACACAACAGGGTCACGCTCACCTTTTCTAAGTACAAAATTCACATGGCAGTGTGAATACAATACAGTACAATATTCAGACATTAGCAAATGTTCTCCAAAATCCTTTCTAATGAATGGAACCACAGGAATTAAAAGAAGCTGAAGACCAATGGGGCTGAGGAGTGCCCTCCTAGTAAAGACTGAAGCTGCTCTGAGACACTTCAGAAGGATTTACCTACAGCCACGATTTAGATTAAAACCCTGTTATTTCATAAGCAAGATGAAACAGTTCTGAAGTTATCCGAAGTTGGCTTTTAAAACTATACTGAAGTCACCCAGAGCTTGGCTTTTCAGCAGAGCTCTGCACATCACAGCCTTGATCCTAGTTTACTCTTTAATTTTAATGAGGTTCCTCTGAGCCTTCTCCTCATATTCATAGTTTTAATTCTTGGATTTTAACATACTCTTTAATGAAATAAACATTTGTAAGTACCGACTCTCAACTAATTAAACTCATTTTAACAATACTCAGATAAATATTTCTACATATTTTATGTGTAGCTAAACATTTTCTACCATTATTGCAGAACGGTTAACAACAGAACTCAGGAAGTAATTTTTGTAGGGAAAAAAAAAGTAATAAAATGAATTTTGTTTTGTCTCAACACTTAAACCTCCAGTATGCTTTCTTAGCTGTTAATGTTTTTCATTTGCACAATGAATGAGTTGATAGTTTTGCATAAGTGCTTTTCTCTAAATCCTATCCCTTCCAAAGCTTTACAGCTACAGCAAACAAATACAGCAACGCTGTTTTCCTCAGCAGCGCATTATAAATTCCAATTAGATCAAACCTTCAGTTACTTCTGAAATTACATTTATAATGAGGGTTTTGTATTAATGGGAACTGAAGCAACTGAACAGCTACAAGCAAGCAGAGCAAAACATTTAAGTAGCTAATCAAACCGGACAAATCAAGCCACAGACAAAGCTTTTCTCCTTTAAATAATTCATTATCCACAGAGAATAGAAAATACTAGTTGTAATTAAAAGAATATATTTGTAACCAAAACAAGGAGGAGTAATCCACTTTAACAAGGGATGGTGGAAAAAGGCCAAAATACTGAAAACCCATCAGAAGCACCTATTCACAGTCTGAGGTAGCCAATTTAGCTTAACTACAATCAGCTAATACATACTCCAATTATGCACCACAGCAATAAAGCATTTCATAAAATAGTAACAACATATAAGCTTAAAGAGAAGCTGAAACACAGGTCTAGATATTAAGTTCAAATTGCCAGTTAACATTTATTGTTTGCAATGCTTGATCTCAAGTTATTCTGCAGATCCAAGTTTACTTTGTAAAGTATCTCTTCAAACTATTATTCAATTATGCTGCCCTTTTCTTGATGCATCTGGCAGAGGAAAAAAAAAAAAAAGACTACAATTCTTATAGTTGTATTTGCTGAGGTGCACTGTGAAAACAAAAATGAAATATAAAATAAAAAATTACATACCAGAAAAAAAAATGGTTTTGTGAAAACTAAGTGAGAATGACTTTTTTTTTCCTAATTTAGCGATGAAAAAACCAGTGTGATTAATGCACCGCTACAATGTGCTAAGAAACTGAGATTGTTGCTACAAATTCATTTCAATGATTTTGAGATTTGCATTCCTACTTTTTTTTTAAAATATATATATATCTGTTTATAATACAGCAGTTTTTCTCACATCAAATGATGCTGCTGCTTTCCTTACGAATAAGTCTTCTACTTCTATTCTACATTCCACTACAGGAATTCTCTATTATGAAAATTTAATTGTCAAACCATTTAAAAAAAAAAGAAAAAAAGAGAAAAAGATCTTGTTTCTAGTACTATGATTTAAAGTGTACTTCCTGTAAGATTACAGCATATAAGAAACCAGATAATATTTTAAGAATTCTAAAAACTTATTAACGTATTTAACAGTACAATTATAATTTAATTCCATCGAATACAACTGCCAACTTCTGAAAATGGATCAAGAAACCAGATTTCATTATTCAATGTCATTAAAATTGAACTTTCAGAAAACAGAAGAAACCTGGAACACTGAATTGCTCTGTGTAGGGACTATTGAAAAAATGGAAGCATTTCTATTCTAGAATCCAAGCAGTAAAATATATATATTATCCCCATCCAGAAGTATGGCTTGAGGTTAAAACATGTGCAGAGACTGAAGAAGTGGACCGAACTATCAGATTTACATGCCTTAGAAAAACCATCCTGCTTCTGCATCTCACGTGTCCAAGTGTAAAATGACATTCTTCTACACCAAATATTACAGGCATATTTTCAAAGACACAGTTAAACATTAGTCAATATTTGTGTTGATGAAAGCCCTACTGTTTATTAGAAAAAAGTTAGCAAATTGTTTAAACATTTTCAACTCAACTGTTTTTCCTCATAGCATGACTATATAGGTAATACCTATAGTCTAGAAGAATAGTAAATAAAAGCTAGTCTCATGACCAAAAAAAAAAACCCCAAAATGGGACATAGTAATGTATGCTTTCTCTTATTTAGCTTTTTTGTATTTTACTTTAAAAGCTCCTATATAAAGCAAAGCAGAGTAGAATATAAATTAAGACTTGTTAGTGTTAAATCTTTGAGGTAATAATGAATCTGCCTAGTATACTTACCTCTGATTCTTTATCACTTAAAGATCCCAAGCTTCCAAAACTGTGGTTTGAACTTTCATTATTTGTTGAGGCCTAGCAAGACAAATACAATAGTTATGTATTACAAACAGATTTGTTAAGTAAGTATTTCATTGTTGTTAAGCATTACATATAAATAGTAGGGCATTCCTATCACAGTTGTAACTGTGATCAAATTTTATGCTGATGAACTACGGAGTCCCTGTGATTTGCAATGGGGATAGAAATTTGATGGTTATGTGTTTTGATGTAGTGCAGTCAATTCTGTATTTTAATTTCTTCTGAGACAAGTTAAAGCCTTGGAACGTTCAAAATCTTATTTGGGAATAGCAGAAGACCCAAGGAAGAGACTTATGAAGTGATTCCACAGAATGGGCTTATACATTCTATATTGCTCAAAGTGTTTGAGACTTAATTTTCAAAAGGAAAGAGGCTCTAATTTTCTCTAAGTCAGACACTAGGCTATTGCAATTGTTTTTAAAATTAATTCAACAAAACAAAAGAATGACTTATTGACAATATTACTGTATATTCTTACAACAATTCACATCCCTCAGAACAACAAATTTAGACTACTGGAGAGGAAAAAAAAAAAAAAAAGGAAACTCTAATAGTTTCAAATTACAATATTTCTATAGAAATGTTCCACAGCTGATTTTTTCAGAGATCTTTTGAACAGAGAATGGCAACAAGGACATTTTATTGAAAGAGTCTGCTCCATTCACACAAGAAGTGCTAACATGAGGTTTGTTTTTTGTTTTTGTTTTTGTTTTTTGCTTTAATTAAAAGAAAAATGTTATACTGCTGAATTATTCTCTTCTCCAATAGAAAGGCATAACAAACTTTCTGAAGTAAAGCAACAATTTAAGGCAAATACTTGCTTCAAAGCATTCAATTCCAGCACTGCATCAGCTTACAAAACAGATCTGTGACATGTGAAATAACTAGATCACATCTGAATTAAGATTTCTAGAGAAATGCAATTAAACCCACAAAATTTCAACATGTTTGCCCCCAAAATAGTTTCTGGTTTAAAAATGCCTAGATGTGCTTCAGTAGGTGATAATCAGAGTCAGGACAATAATCTCAGAAACCTACACTTGTGCATTCACTACTGCTTACTCAAAAAAGCTTGAAGATGCTGGACTTTACCTCCTCCACAGCTGAAGAACAATTCAGCAGTTAGGCCTTCCAAATAATAATCTCCATAAACAAGACTCCATCTCAATTTAATTACTAGAAGAATAAAGTCCTAGCATGTTTTCAATAAATAATCTGCATTCATTTGTGTCCTGCAGCCTCTGCACTGTCTTGCTAGATTATGAAAATGAGAATTCAATGAGTGGAATCAGGTAGGTATGCGAAGAGGAGGTGTTTTCATTTTTGCCTTCAAAGTACATCTCCTTCTCCCAGTTACCTCTGGACATCAGATCAAAAAGTTTGTATCCTTTTTTAAATAAGAATCAGATAAGCTTCTCATAATGTCCACCAAGACTACAGACTATATAGAAAATTAAAAAAAAAAAAATTCCATACAGCCCAGATACACTGAGTGGTCAGAAATGAGTTCAAGATATAAAAGAAATACAAACAAAACTGACAGAATTGCCACTTCACTAATGGTGGGATAAATTGCAGTTGATATTAGTATTCCCCTCCATATTCCCATAAGCAGGAAAAGGAACATATATTGCAAGGTGCATTGCAGATCATTTGTAGAGTATATCTAGTCAAAGTTAAGAAGAACAAAATCTGCTAGGTGAGGATTTGTATCCATCTAAAAACTACAGTGATAGTAGTATCTTTTACAAGCAACTATCAAAGTATTTAGTAGTATTAAAAAACTTCATCTAGCTATCCATTTGCAAAACAATTGGATGAGATTCAAATATCTTTTCAAATAGTTCTAGGACTGTGCCAAGTACAAGAAATTTGCGTTTCATATAGTAGAGAGAAAAAGGAAATTAGCTTTTTTTTTTTGTTCTTGTTAGTTTTGTTTTTTGTTGTTGTTGTTGTTGTTTTTTTCCCTAGCTAATTTGAATGAACAACCTCAGAAAATGGAATGTAATTTGGGTAAAAACGAAATCAGTTGAACAACAAGCAACAAAAAAATCTCTTGGAGAGATTTTTTTATTGGATTGATGAGAAGCAACTCACAGGGAGTTAAGTTTAAAGAAAGAGAACCCCAAGAAACTAGATAATTGATTTCAAATAAACTGCATTAAACACATTAGTAGACAGATTCTGAGGAAGAAAGACTGGCAATATTACAAGGGACCAACAAAGCTGTATCAAAAAATAATAGAAGAAAAATTAAATGAACTCAAAAGAAGGGAGATCTAGTCATTAAAAAGGACAAAAAGTCATCTGAATTCTAAGTAATTACTTGAGCAATTATAATGAGTTAATAAATTAGGGAGTAAGAAAGTTGTTACAGGGAAGTAACAAAAATGAACCAGAATTACTGACTTTTCCCTCAATCTTCTTTTAATTAAAAGAGTGAAGTACACATCTTTTCTAGGCACACTTCAAAGACAATTAAGTAAGAAGAGAAAAAAAGCAGTGTATCAGTTACATTGTATCAACTGAATCTGATTTCTTTCATCAACCTCTGCTATCAAGTAGTATTTTACTGTGTAATACAGACTGGTAATAAAAACATCAAACACTAAAGGGAAAGTGCTAATAAAGCTTGCACAGAAATTTTAAAATAAAAGAGCATTACTTACAGTTTGGAAACAGAATTCCCAAATATTTTAGCAATGAGTGAAATTAGATTAAATATTAATAAAGATGTTAAAAAATAACTAAATTTTAAGTGTAATGTTAGGTGAAGTACTTCCAAATACTCAAAACCAAAATGGAGTATTATATAGGCAACAATACTGCAGAAATTAGCCTTGGAAACTGAAGTGAACTTGAATGGGATTTGTAATAAAAGCAAACTTATTTGGTATATATATTAACTGAAGGCTAATATACAATATATGGAAGGTAATAAAGCCATAGTAGTTGATGTTCATAAGGTCTTCCCTGAAGTGTTGCATCTTGGTTTTGACACTAGAGGACAGACTGCAGAAATTCTACAATCAAAATACATAAAATAAAAAACATAAAGGTGTCTCGAAAAGTTGAAATAATTGGGTTTTGCTAATATAGATAAAACAATCTTCAAACAAAAAAAACAATTAATTTTGAAAACAGAGGTCCGTGTGTCTATCTCAAGCATTAGTTAAGTAGTTGGCCATCTACAGAAGGAACAGCTCCTTTGAAATACTGGGAAAAACTTTCATCGCTGATCACATTAGAACAAAACCACAAAAGAGCCCGTATAATACCATACTTCGGTGTTTTTAAGAACAGTTAAATACATGAATGGCTCAGGATAAAGAAACCTATCTCAAATCAAAGTAAGTGACTAATAATAATTTTCCTGAGACTCTCTTCCATTCCAATCCTTTATCAGTAAATAGCACAGGCAATGTAAAAGAGAGACAATATAAAATAATGTTTCAAAAATGGTAGATCTGGATAACAGTTCTTAGTACTTACTTTAGCTCCAACACTGCAACTTCCAGTACTCCCAGTGCTGCCACTTACTACTCCTGTAAATCTTGCCTCTAACAATTCTTGTCTTCTTGGGTCCAGACTATGAAGCTCATCCATTGCTCCTAAACAAACAAACAAATTAATTAATTATATTCTCTAAATTACAGTAGAACATTTTACAAGTAAACCAAATATGCCACTGACCTATACAAAAAAAAAAAAAAGGAAAAAAAAAATCTGTACTCCCAAACTGTCAAAATTTCACCCTCTGTTATTTAATAACAAATTAACACTAATTCTACAAATTTTGAGGAAGCTTCCCTGTATCAGAATACCCCTGTCAATTCTGGTGAAAACTAAAATCTATTAGAGGCATGTAAGAGTCATGGAACCTACAGCATGTGATACACCAACCAGTTGATATTATTAATAGATGAAAAAACAAGCAATGGGAGCAAAGCACTCTTCAGCATAAAACCTTCAATTCAGCAATGCTCTTGTTCTCAGTATTATTTCAATTATTTAGGATATCAACATGTTGATATTCTAGACAAGTAAAAATCATAGGAAAAATGAAAATGAGGTCATGGACCATAGTAACCATCATGTAAAAGGGAATACAGAGTTACTTGAAGGGCAAGGAATCAAGAAGCAGGATCAGCTATATGAAAGGAACCAGGAGTAGCAGAGTCCTTCACACAAGTGGTGCCTCCTACAGATATAGGGGGTAAAGCAGTACCCCTGGCATAAACAGAAGAAAGAAGGTGCAGGGGAATGGATGAACAAAAGGAGTTTCTGATGTACCCAGATGAGCTCAGCAGCTCAGCTACAAGAGTAGGCTGCAGTCTGATGTGTAGCCTTCTAATTTGTATTTAAATCACTTACGACTCTTTAATCAGTCTGAAAGATCATCTAGACAAACACCCTTCTGTATTTAAACAAACTGTGTTCTTTGTTTTTATCTTTTCAACTACTTGAACATTCAGTTTATCTTCAAATTGGAAACAGTTCAGTTGCTTTATCTTAAATAGGTTATTTAATGCCAAAGTCCTTATGCACTATTTAAAAACGTATCCCTCAAGCACTATGCAAAATGATACAACCTCATTTTTTGAACTAAGATACAGCTAATCAACCTTGTACTTTTCAGTCGCACGGGACAACATACATTGTCAGAAAAGTAGTTCCAAAAGGACAGGAAGTAATATTGATGTATATTCAAGTGACACTATTAAAAAAAGAGGTTTGAATTTTCTTTTCATGAAAATTAGTTTGCAACATTTGAGTGTCCATACGGACTTTCACCAAGTATCTATCACCAAGTATCCTGACACAAGACGCAGATTATTATGACTCCTGGCTATCTCAGCAACCTTTAGCATTCAAAGACCAGAAAGACCTACCATCCTCTACACACTGGCCACCCCAAGCCATGCAGCTCAGACTCCTGGCAGGGAAAGAAAGCCCTGGCTCAATCACTTTGTTAATTCAAGCTGCCTGAGTCTTATCATCAGTGTCTGCCTTGCTCCAGTGGGAAGGCCAGTGGCAGGAATAAGGTTGCCAGCACTCCTTCACACCAGGCAAAGAACAGTCAAAAAGAAGACATTTGGAAAACGTGCTGGTAGAACCTTCCTTTGACAACCAAGGCACAAGTGGCTGGCACAGCACGCCAGGTTCTGGTTCGTGAAGTGGGGATCTGGAGGCTTTTTCCAATGCTGCAAGAATGCAGGACTGGTATCAAATTGCAGCTGGCTTATCATCTGCAGTCATAACACTGCTCCTGAACTGGGCCAGCAGAAGTTCCTCCAATTTCCATGTGTTTTCGACTAAACTCTCAGGGGAAAAGACTGCCTTACTATGTGCACACACAGCACCAAACATTCAGGAATACTCTTTAAAACTCTTGCTTCCCAAAATCTTCTTCTGTACTGCTTCCAGTGGTTTCAAGAACAAAGCGCACACTTCCTCGCTTACACAAAAATACTCCTCAAATTTACACATTGGGCAATTAGGCCTTTTTTTAAGCAGATCTGTACAACATACAGATCCATGCCACCATGTACATAATCTATACCTCAATGGGGAAGTATTCTTTAGTAAGAGTGTAAGAAACTGATGAACTTCAAATGGCCATTGTCTCACTTCATAACAGTAAAAGTGTTCAAGCGTTGGCCATTCTGAAACAAATTTGTATACCAAAGCAACCCACTTACTGAAGCAGGACTAGCAATATTCAATATTCCTATTTGCTAGCCACTGCCCATAACAGTTCAGAGCTTACCTAAAATTACCAATATAACTCTAGCAAACCACATTCATACTGCAGAAACAGATACTACAATACCTGGTATTGCTTATTTTACGAAACATGGGGAAGCAAGAATCCCCATGGATAGTTAAGGCTCACTGGAAATGGCACAGAATAGAACTGCTACACAGGTTTTGGTACTGATTTATTTATTACGTGCCTAACAGCACTCTTGGGCCACTCTACCAGTTAGGAGGGCAACTGAGCGGGCAGATGGGTACATCACCACACAGATGAAGTACAACTTTTCATTTTTTTCTGTTCAACATTTAAAGTCTACACATGCTAATGAATGCACTATATTCTCTTCATTATCACTGCTGGAGTTTTGCTTTTCTTTTGCATTTAAATGTCCAGAACCACAGAGCACCGCACAATGAACACGTATGCTCCATCATCCATGTGATAAGGACAAGCCAGGAAAGCTGAAGACAAGGTTTCTCTCAACACAGAGCAAATCCCAGAGGTCTACCAAACTGCCTCCCCCAGGTAAGACGGACTTCCACATGCAGCTGTTTTTTCAAGAAAATACTGTTCTCTGTATTCCTGAGCTCACAGCCCTAGGGTGTGGGAACTGCTGAGTCACAGCCTGAAGCACTGATCGATCACCTGGGGAAAGGACCCGGTCAGCCCTGGAGCACAGATGAAGGCAATTCAGGTGTGTGACCAGAAGGGGTGGAGCCCGGCTGCACCTCTCTTAGACCTCGTTTAAGGGCTGACTGCCAGGAGTGGGGAAGGAGCTTTCCCCTACAAATCTAGAATCTTCTGATACAGGTAAGCAATCTTTTTCCCTTCTCTTATAGCACCTTGCTATCGTGCTGATCCTTCTGTCGTTACACCTCTGGTGAAACACCTTTTTCCATCACACTGATCCGTTCAATTGCTACACCAAGTTTCCTGCTTTTAAAGGCAACTTCAGAGTGCTAAAGGTACAGGACAAAGACTACTTTTTTTTTAATAAACATCAGATTTTATAAATTCAACTGCTGTTCACAAGATAAACTAAATTTACAGTTTTAAAAATACACTCACAGACCCGTTGAGCTAGCTTTATTCCTGTTACAGAAATTCAATTCACCAATTCAAAGGACATACGGTCACATCATAGAAGTACTTCACTGAGGCATATTTATGATGCTAAATGAAGAAGTGGCATTGCTACCAACCACTGCCATGCAGACATCCACTGCCTTCCACAGAAAACGCCTCTTAGATTACCCATCCTCACTATGAGCTCTAAAAACTTTTCTTCTTTTCTTGTAACCGCTCTCCAAAGCCTCTTTTAGTCATTTTGAAAAACTAAAATAACCAACACTATGTAGCTGCTGTATTTTCTTTTATTTTGGGGGGGGTTGCAGAATCTTCTGAGTTTATCTTTCAGAACTGCACATGGTCTCTAACACAGAAGTCCCAGCATACTGTCCTGTAAAGGATGCTTGTTTACCAGGAGTGAAACTTCTGAGAACTTGTTTTGCAATGGGTTATATCAAAAGTCAGAAATAACTTCAGTATCCTCAGTTACACTGTATTTCTACCTTATCAAAACAGGTGCGTTAGGAATCAGAAGATTCTCCACAGTCATTTGAATTGTTTTGGTGACCAGAAAACAATGAAGTGCAACAACACTTGTAAGCCAGGCCTTGTGTAGCAGAATACCAGCTGCTGTCTTAGCCTCCTGTAAAGAGAACCTCTTGGGACACATGCATGCTGTGATCTCCACCTTGAACAGTTCTAGATTACAGAGCAAAACTGCAGACTCAAAGGTCTTGAAAGATCAGATGTTTTTTACTAAGTATGGAATCAAGTCCCAAGCCTCAATCTTTAGTTTCAACTCTCTTTTTACCCTGAATGGACTCCTGTTAGCTGGCAATCAACTACAGTTTCCAGATGAAGAAAGATCAACAGCTTCACACACTGTCAGTTTTCAGTGATGAAGATAAAGGTCATTATGCAGAAGCCAGATTCTTCTGAGAGCAACCCTCATGATCAGACTGAGGTCCACTCCCCTGAATTCAGAGACAGCACAAACCACCTTTCACTTAGGTGAAAGGTATAATAGTTTGGTTGGGTTCCTTCAGCAGACTTCTACACATATAGCTTTTAAATGCACAACAGAATACTTCAACACAAAGCCTCATCTATTGAAGACCAGAGCTCAACAATTAACCGAAATGTAAACAGAATACCCTAATATGCTTCAAGTAGGCACTGAAGTGTTACGGGAATACACGTGGTGTGAGAACTATGCTTTTTAAAAATTAAAAAAAAAACACATTAACATTGATTATATTACCACCACATACTATCTTCACTGACAGAAACGTGCTTTTGATCAGTAAATCTATATAATATTAATTTAAAAGGGAGTGGAAAACAAGCAAGTAAAAGGTGCACATTTCAAATGGTGAGAAAAACAGTCTGGGAAGCAGACTTTTGATTTAAAAAAAAATTCCTATAGGTGTATCAAACAACCTCTGAAACTATGAACACTTCCATATTCTTCCATGCATAGAAAGCATCAGTTAACAGAATTGCCTTGCAATTCTGAAAGACTTTAAGTTAACTATTTCAGTTTGGAGTATCCCAAAAATGTATTTAACCAACTGTGATGATGCTATAATAGTTCAACTTCTTAACAATCAAGTGTGAGAACTCATTGTAAATGCGTACTGGCAGACACAATTAAAACTTTAATGTATCAAATGCAAAACATACTACAGATTTTAAAATCCTTAAGCAGTCCTGCAAAAAATGTCATATGCCTAATTCTCTTGCAAATCTCACCAACAAGAAGATGCATCCTCTTTCTGTGTG